CTTTAGGTGGGTACCTTAGCTTCAAACCAGGAATAAAAAATAGCAGTCTCTATTACGAGTACTACAACTAACTATAATAGTGAGATCCATTAAGGTTTTTTAATTAAATCAATCAATAGCACGAACTAGTATTAATCTCAAATAATCAGACTTAGTTAAGCAGTCTCATTGTTAATAATATTTTAAGACTCTTCGCTCAAAACATCTTTTCTGCACGAGCAGGGATTTCCATTTCTCCTGTTATCTGGACACTCATGGGGTAAACTGTCATAAAATAAATGAACGTCTTGGGGTAGAACTTCCTTCAGTTCCTCCAAATGGATGTATTTAGTTCGAGGTATAGGAATCCTTGCGTCATACAGACAAGGCATTGAGTCTGAATCTCTTGGTTTTTTAATTTTTCGGCGTAATTGTTCGAATTCTTCAGAGAACTCTTGTTTTATGTGAATAGTTCCGTTAGTTCTATACTCAATGCAACGCAAATCAAACACAGTTGCTTCTCCTGCTTTCTTACCCGGTCTGATAGATTTTAAATATGGCATTGAGCTAAACTTTCGGAAAATGCTGTGGTCTAAGTAATTTACGACATACGGTTTATTTAATCGTGCATTTCGACAGATATCTATGTACTGGGCTGGGGAGTATATTTCTCGATTCCTTAGTTGTCGTTCTATTGTGGAATGCATCGAATCTGCTTCCATTTGTGTGTGTCCCTTTTCAAGATATTTTTGGGTAATCGTAATTTCTTTTTGGACAGCAATTTGCAGTAAAGCATTTGCAAGTATAGCATTTCGATTCTGATTCGTGCATCCATCGCTCCAAAAAATAATGTGCTTGACGTTTTGTGGAATGTAATGCTCAATGAAGTGCTGCAATATACTGCAAAATTCGTTTGCAGAAAGACCACCTTCACATTCATGCCAAATATAACAATAACCGTCATTATTTTTTATATCGAACAGAGTAAAGTTGTGTACTTTGAGTTTTGTTTTATAATATAGTGCAGATGCTTTTAATGAGGGTGATAGAAGCACTGCTTGTAAATCAAAAGTAAATGCCATTGTCTCCGGATCAGGATTATTTTTGTCTGCGGTTTTTTCTTGTCTTGCTCTTTCTTTTTTCTCTCTGTGTGCGGTATATACATCTTCTGCAATGTTCCCGACTTTGAAGGCACAGCACACGTCACATTGGTCTTTTTTTGGTGAAAAGAGTGACAAATTCATAGCATCGAATTCTCGAAAGAATATCTTCTGTGAAACTTTATATTCATTAATGCCTTTTTCTGAAAGTTGCTTGACGTATTCTCTGTATAGTTGTTCTTTGCTTTGCCATATCTGTTCTAAATAAAGTTTGCTTGTCGTCTTCCTGCAGTAGTGTGATTCTAATTTTGGTAAATTATTTAAAAACTCTTTTGCATGATTTCTTCCAATGTCTTCGAATGCTTTTACGCCGTTATTTCTTCGGGTTTTTTCAGACTCCGACGCCACTTCATTTCTGTCTTCATTTTTGGTCCAGTTGTGTACTGACCATTCGCCAATATTCAAAGTATTTAAGTACATTTTTTTGCAAACTTTGTATTTTTCTCCCAACACATTAAATGAGTACTTGAAAGTATTCCCTCTGCGAAAACTGTTTCCGCTACACTTCCGTTTGAAAACACCTTGTTTTTGAACAGTTTGTTGTACCCAAATCTTTTTTGTTTCCCACGATAGCTTCCAGTACTTCTTAAATAACATATTTCGACCTTCTTCTGTTAATTTGTAGCATTCAAAATATTTGCAACGATCATTATGATCACAACGAGGCTGAACACTGCGCTCGTTTTTCTCAAGATCGAACACAATTTTTCCGTCTTCTGTTTTCCTCCTCCCACTGTAACTGTCTCCTTTCATTCTTTTAATTTTATTTTGATTATAAGTCCAGTTTTCTTTATTTGCTTTGCCTCGCTTGGCACGTTTTCGCTTCACTCTTGTCTCATCAACTGGTTCCAGGGTCAACGAATCATTTGAAGTATTTAATTGTTCACTTGGTTGATAGTCAGTATCCCCATCGTCGGGAGAAAAATCACCATCCCACGGGTCATCAAAGTGGAAGGAAGGACGTGGAGACACCAAATCAGCTCTACTAGTAGAAGGTATAGGACAGCTTTCTTTTCCAACCGTTGCTGATACGTCATTTGAAGAGTGCACTAGCAAAGACAAAGACTCCTTGAAATTGCTGCAAAAGATAATGAAATAAGCGATGACGGCGTGTGGAAAGTTAAAGAGACTGGCGGTATTGGCATTTTTCCTTCACATATAGATAGGTGTTGATGGTTATTGTTGATATTATCCTGAGTGATATATTCTTTCATGCTCAAATCTAAGGGAAGTTCATCAACAATCACGTCAAAACTACTGCTGTGAGGGGCATTTACAGTAATTATTGAAATAGGTATGAGGGTGGATGATCTTTGATTATTTTTTTCGGGTTGTGGTGTACTGTTATTAGTGTCTGTGATGTGATAGTCAATATTATGCTGTTTTTCAATCAAAGCTTGTGACTGTGAAGATTTCGTCTGATCTTTTATTTCTACATCAGGTGAACTAGATTTTTGGAATGTATTCGTAGGTTTTATTTGAATAAAGCACTGTTTTTTTGCGGGTATTATTTCAGGTGAAATTATGACTGAACTTTTTTTTGGATTTTGTGAAAATGGTAATATTTCCTCAGAAATTGGCGAATCAATACGACTTGAAGAAATAAAATATGCGGAACCTAACGTGGGCTCTGGAAGTTGGAACTGCATTAAATCTTGCTGAATTAATGTATTGATAGATGGTTCCTTGCCCGAGTCCTTCAAATATGTAACCTCGTCACTAACAAAGTAGGAATTCTGATCATTTTCTTCACTTTCTATTTCAGACTCTTGCATTCTGTAATGAAATAATAAGAAATCAGAACTCGGATGTGTACAAGTGAGTTTTTTAAATCGCTAAAAAACGCGCATTTGCCCATACGACTATTTAATTTTTGTGATTTTATCTTAGGAAATTACGTATATACCTATACGAGGTTTGTGTAAAAAAATCCGGAAGTGTGAATAGCTTGGTAAGGCGTATACATGGTTGCATTTAAAATGAAAACTTCGTAAAGGTTTATACAAGATTCCAAATATAAATGTGAATAACTTGGTAAGGATTATACGTAGTTATACATGGATGCATTTAAAATGAAAACCTCGTAAAAGGTCATACAAGATTATATCTGTAAGTGTGAATAACTTGTTAAGACTTATACGTTGTTATATACGGCTGCATTCAAAATGAAAACCTCGTAAAGAGTCATACAAGATTATATCTATAAGTGTGAATAACTTGTTAAGGCTTATACGTGGTAGTATTCAAAGTGAAAACCTCGTAAAGGGTCATACAAGATTATCTATAAGTGGTATGATAGCAGTGAAAAACCCGTCACCAAGTTTACAAGCTTTTCATAGGTATAATACAACGAGTACGAGGTTAGTAATACATTTCAAGACAAAATCGTTAGAAAACGTAGTCAATTCTTAATAAAACTTAATAAATCATAAAGAGTACTTACTTTTCGCTGTAGTTTGACACTTTACAACACAAATTGGACACTTTGTACACACTTTTTTCAATTTTTAATCCGGAATAACGCTATGATCAACCGTACTGGCGAGTTTCTCAGACGAAAATGGCCGAGCCAATTTCGATACAAGGTTCTCATAGCACGTCATAGATGGCGCTAGGAGTAGCTGATTCTAAAGTTTGCCAGAGTAATCTGTGCTTACCGAGTTTATCAATCCAAAGAACAAATAAAATTTTTTTTGAGGAAATGGGACATCCGAGGTTTTCACTGCTGGGCGACGATATGCGATTGTTGAAATCATTTATTAATTGTTCTAGTTAAATTATTTCGTATTAATCATTTTGTTTAGTAAGCTGTCGCATTTTCCAATAAAATAAAATTCATTCTCATTATCCCGCCATAAACTGTAATAAATTTTCATTAATTGTTATAAAATTGTATGTGAGACGAACTTCTTAGCCATCCATGGATTCACCGTGCGCGTGCCGGGTTCATGGTGTCTTGGGTTTAGAGTAGAGCCTAATGATGATAGGTACTAATTTGGTATCACAGGCGCCTATATATAGGTTATGGTGGCTGCCCGGGCAGTAACCTGATGTTTGTTTAAAATTCTCTTTTATACACACATCAAAAAAGTCTAAGCAACACGCATCATTTACTGCCACTTGAATGTGCTATAAATTGATTTATTTTTTCTTAGGAATGTATATTGGTATAGAATACTTTTTGATCTTGAATTCATAATTGGCTGATATTAAAAAAAACAAACCTATCCATTGTTTATATAATAGAATGTATAGAAATATATTAGAATAGTAAGAATCGTTCAAAAGTTCAAAACCGTAACATGTTGCTGAGACGTTTTAATGAGTAAAAAACATAGATTAAAACAAAAAGGGTAGATACGGTACGCTCATAGATGAATTAAAGCGAAAGAAGCTTCATCAAATAAAATATGATCCGACTCAACTACATAAGCAACTCTCACACACGCACACGTCTGTTATAAACATTCAATCAAGCGAGCGAGACAGAACTATACGCTTCAACGCAGCGTATTGTTATCCTTTTCATGATAACAAAACGTAAATAACATTCACGACAAACTGTGATTTTTGAGAAAGGAATGGTTTTACAATTTTACGAATGAAAAGTGTTGACGAGGCATTTGATTTTGAACTATTGTGTTCTTTATAAAAGCATCGAAGGCATTGTTTTGTCTTTATAGCACAGAATATACCCAATATTGTTATATTAAGTGCACATGCAGCGTGTTTGAATGTTCAATTGTGACTAAAACGAATTATGGTCATGCACCACAATTTCAGCGGATCACTTTTGAGCCGCGAGTACCGTATCTTCCCTTTTTGTTTTAATCTAAGGTTTTTAAATGTTGTTTGTCTCAGATACCTCCCGCAACCTGTACCTACTGCACATCCTCACGTGGGTGATGAACATGTTCGGCATCTTCTTCATCCTAGCGGCGCACGAGCACTACTCCATCGACGTGTTCATCGCCTTCTACATCACCTCCCGGCTTTTCCTCTACTACCACACGTTGTCCAACAACCAGGCGCTCATGCAGAACGACTCTTCAAGGTAAGAGTTCCTTTGGAATTGACCGATTCAGTCTGCTTATGATCTTTATTATATTAGATCGAAAATAATATTGTTATTTAAAATGCGAATGGATTCACACAAAATCTATATTTACTGTTACTGATGAATTGTGTCCCCAAGTAAGTCGTAATTCTATGTTTGCAATATGAAGATAATTTTTGACGTATAAGTCATCATAGTTATATCATCTTCGTCTTTTTAAATATTTTACAGAATTACTTTTTGGAATTTTGGCAAAATAAGTATTTTTAAAGTTAAATAAATCTAGTTTTTACGGGTTAATGAACGAAACTTTATTTATTTATTGACGTTTCGTAGCCTTTACAGGCTACGTCAGTGTCATAAATTAAAACGTTACATATTTAGTTACAGTAAATTATTTTATTGAATAAATACATTTTCCGAATGGAAATTCAAACGAAAATGAGCTGACAGGCTGTTAAATCTTATTTAGCTGTTTTGATTGGTGGAAGGCAAAGAACTTTAGTCCATACAGCCTTAGGAAACAATCTGCCACACAGTCAGTTCAGTCGTTTCATATCGTGGTGCGTTCCATTCTACGCAAAAACTGAAAGAAAACACACGCTTTGTTTTTCGATTTAATTGCAAGTTTTGTTAAAAGTCCCTAAAAGAACCCCCAAAAAAAGTCCGTTTTAACCTTTCTAGCCCCTAAATCTGGGGCCAAAACCCCTAAGTTGGGAACCGTGGGCTACGCCGTCAGAATCAAACTTTTATTTAATTTGTCGAGCTACCTTCGAAAGAGTTTTATTGAGCGTTCGGTTATTTCATTGTTCGATTTTTAAAGTTTTATTGTCTATGTATGAATTTATTATTTATAATGAGTGATGTGTGTGAAAACCTAAGAAACAAATATTTTTAAAGTTGCCAAAGTAAATGCTAAATGCACGGTCATATTGCGATATAATTATTAGCACATATTATCGTCTCACATCGGTTATACCTGACCTATTTATAAGTACACTCCTTATATCAGCTATTCGATAACATTATGTTAACATTGGAAAAAATGTTACCTAAATATTATTGTAGGTTAACCGATTTGTATGTTCTGTTCGAAACTGCACACATTTTATATCTACTTATGTTTTTTTGTTTTTAACAATTTCAAACATGTACTAATCATATGTTACATTTTAAATAAGCGCTTTAAATGATCTATTGGGAGGTCCCAGATTCGATTACCGGTTCATTCAAAGTGGCTACTTTTTAACAAGTACTTACTTTTCCATCTTGGTGTCTCGTAATTCGGTGCTTGTGATGTATTCGATGATTCCCCTCTTGGAAAACTGTTCTGCATTATTGTTAATGATTCTGGGCAAATAATCATTTCATTAGGTAAATGATTATTTTTGAGAGTTTATTACGTAGGTACATATTCCGAATAGCCACGCATGATATTATGTAATTGCAATGAACATTAAAAATAGATGTACACTCGTAGAACGTAGGTGACACCACGAGCACCTTCGATGACCTTTTACATAATAATACCTACACAAAGAAAAATGACACACCCCAATGACGTAATATTTGGCAGTGGTTTGATGGGATAACGTTGCATAGCCGGGAACAACTTAAAACTAGGTGTTTTCTATAATACGTATCGAAAGTAGCCTGTCCGTTATGGTTATGAAGTTAATAGCTGAGCTGGCGTTTTCTTGTATTCATTTCATCCCGAATTTAACTTAGGACGTGTACATAGGGTAACCATCCGTCCGGACGTTTAGACTATAATTTTTAAATTACATTGAATATGAATAATACTTTAGTACATATTGATTTAAATACCATGACATTGTAACTAAGTAAAGATTGGTACCATTTTGTGAAAAAAAGTCAGGACTTTTTTCGAAATGTCAGGATTTTTATCAGGGCTTTTAAATTCCTAAATGCTAACCCTAATACAAATAGACTGCAGAATATAACGAAAGATTTTCGTTTCTTTTTAGGACAAGGATATGGTTCCCGCTGTTGTCATTCTTCGAATCGGAGGTGGACGGGATCGTTCCCAACGAGTACGAGGGCCCCGTGACTATACTGGCCAACCTGAAGCAGTGGTGCATGCAGCTCGTCTCAGACGTCAAACAATCCTCCGTGGCCAAGATAGCTGGGACCAAGCTCCAGGAGGGCGCAGCTATGGGCGAATACTCCGTCGTCCGACTCGTAGATGGCATCAAAAAGAACCTCAGTTTAGTCGAAGAGTACAGAAATACTAATCAGAGATTGGTCACGCTCGACAAAAACATTCAAGCCGGCATACTCGACGAACAAATGGAGACCGACTTGCGCCACAGAAACGTAGCTGGGGAATCGCTTCTTAAAGATTTAAGAACAGGAGAAACAATGCTTAGAGATTTAAGTAATCCACCCTCACCGTCTATAAAGAAAAATATATGAAAATACTATGTTATATAGATTTCGAGGCTATTTTAAAGAAAACAAAAGAAAATCGATCATTGTAGTTGTATTTGTACAATGAAATTAGATACCTGATGTTTTACATTTCCATTATAGATTTTATAAAGTGTTATTCCATAATTATTTATTTTAATAAGTAAGCTAAAATTAAAAAAAAATATTAAGGAGATTTATTTGCTCAAATATAATCAGACACAAGACCTTGCCTATATGTTATTTTATTATTCCTTGGGTTATATCAATTATCACTCGAAAAGGCAGGTGCTGCCTACTGGGAGTCCTCTTTAGCATGCAAATCTATAAATTCTGCCAAAGGCGATGCTGTGATGCTGGGGCAACACTAACGGGAAATGCTGTTAATTATCGTGATTGGTACACACTCCGGCGCGGCTCGCATGCCTGCAGTGTATTAACTTAGCTCTTTGCGACCACTAGCACATTCCTCAGAGTTCTTAGTTAGCGTGGCCCCAACATGAAATGTAGAAAAATGCACTGAACCAGACTTGTTATACCTTCTACCCAAACACACGATTAAACATGCCTACCAAATCAATGATGAGCTCAGCTTTGGATAATTAATTTTTGTTGGATTCCAAAGTTACATAACTTGCCTCTACAAACTAAATTGAACGCGCCAACCGCTGGTTGGCACCTAGTTGATAACTAGGAAAGGGATCATCAACGTATAAAATCGAGCCGTTCAGTATTCTTTGTATAAAACTCCCAACTGCAATGAACAATTAAAACCATAATGTAAATTGTCTCGCCTCGGGACAAGCTCCCGAACCGCGGTGTGATGCGTGGTCACTCTCCGCACCCTAGCTTACGTCTCTACATCCACGCCCCTCCCGTGGCCTCATATTCAAATTCAAACTAATTGAACTGGTGCCGCCTAGCCATCAAATAGCGGTCTGCAAGCCGTAAGCGCGCGGCGTTAGGTACCTTTATTTCTGTCTGGAAAATGCATTAAATACTTCGAATCATTCGCCAACTGGGAGCCAAACGCAGGTATCTGCGGACTTCTCCCTACTCATTTCACCCAGCCCTGAGACTCTATGAAATGAGCAGGGCCCTACCCAGTAACAACCTGACAATACTCCAGCACCGATCACCCGGAGCCTCGGGACTGCGAGTGTAGTTTTGGCACTCGAATTCCTGGCCGCACACCAGTATAGTGATTGTCCGTGGTGTCGGGGTGGGTCCCCGATGAAATGCGAGCGGTTTCACTAGTCGTAGCCGAGTCGAAATGCTGGATCTGATTTACATAGTTAAAAGTTACATACTTGTATTAGAAGGATCCCTGTTTGATGGCAAGCCGAAAAGCGAATCGGTCTAGACTAGATCCGCTTCCGGGTTGAATGTGTGCTATGACCTTAGAGCTCCTCAAACGAAATCCCCAAAAAAGTTCCTGTTAAAAAAATACTTTGAATTGGCAACTAAACATTTTTCTATTAATTTCGTTAATCATTTTCAAAGGAGAGTACCTACTTTCTAGCAATTATAACCATTACGACACAAGTTGTAAAATAGGGCACAGGATGAAATAGGAAACTCTTGTATTGGTGTGTCCGCCGCCGGTCTGGGTAAGTAAGGAAATAAAAGACTGTCAATTTTGAAATATTTTATATAATTCGTATGAAAATTAGTTAAAAAATGTCTTTAAAAATAACATAAAACTGTCATGAAAAACCCCATTTTTATTTCATTACAACCAAAACAAGAGGGCATGAATTGACTATTTAAAATAAAGATGTAAAATTGTAAACAATGTTTTAACTTAATTTTTCAAGTTAATTTTAAATAAAATTACATTCAAATCATTGAGATTTTTTAAATATGTGCAAATAGAGATTTTCTATGTTGTTTTAATAAGGTATGTTATTAAATATTAATATATAAAACAATTTGATACATGGTACTAAAATTATTTCAACTGGACCATAAGTACAGATGCTAATCATGATATTAGCTGTACATGCATTGCATATTAGCACCTATTAAAATTGTGAAAATATTTTTATGTATAATTAGATGGCCACTTAAAAATTTCATAATAAAGAACACAATGCAGTTTTATACAAAATGAGAATAAATAAATATTCTTTAAAAGACTTTTATGTAAATAATTATTGACTAATGAATTGATAGATTAATTTGTAAAAGAATATCATTAATACTTTAAAATAATACAAGCCTTATGAAGGAAACACTGTTAAATAGAAATCTTACTCTGGAACTTCATATAAAATTGATTTATAAATCTAATGATAATGACATTTAATGACAATAGGCCACTTAGCAAACATGATACTTTACATCGCACCTTTGCAACACAAGTCTCAATATTATACTTCTCAGCATTATATACAATGACTAAAAGAAGCGCGAGATGCATTATAAATAACAGGACAAACTTAATGTATAGTGCTCACTTAGTGCTAGTAGGGCTAAATTTGAGCTGAAAAGCAAATAGATGTCAGTCAGTTATTCAGCAGCAGCAGCCTGCTCATTCTTTATCAGATCCTCTGATGGGCTTTCTTTTTTACTTTCTGGAACACTTTCTTTCTCTTCAGATTGTTCACGGGAGCTAACTGTACCATTCTCATTGACAGAAACATCTTTCTCAGGTGAACTTTCTTTGGACTTTTCTGAGGCAGCTTCCACAACTTTTTCTGGGGATTTTTCTTTTTCTGGGGAGTTTTCTTTTTCTGTAGAAGACACTTCCTTTTCTACCGATTTTTGTCTTTCTGGTGAAACTTCTTTCCCAGATTCCTGTTTTGTTTCATTTATTTCTTCTGCCTTTGCAGGGGATGGCTCTTTAGAACTTACTTTATCAGTTGGAGAGGTTTCTCTTGATGGTGTTTTGGGTTTGGTTTCACTCTCTTCCTTGGGTTCCCCTACATCATCTTCTCCGCTATCCTTGCTAACTGGAGCCTTATCACCATCATCGCCCTCCTTCGTCTCCTCTGCTTTATCACCATCAATTTCCTTGGCAGGCGAATTTTCTTTTGATTTACTTTCCTCATTTTGTTTCTCAACATCACCATTTAGAACCTTTGCCTGAAAGTGGTAAGAAAATTAATCTCAATTGGAAATAGTACGAAGGGTTTATTTGATTTGTCTGTTTGGACATGAGTTATATAAATAATCATTTCAGGAATTAATATCATTACATATCAATAATTTAAGACAAGTAAGTTTAAAGTATAATGTTTTTCTGTAGGAACTATCAATTTATGTTACTACAGGAAACTAATCCTTAATATCACCTATTGAAATCTCTGGCATGATTTTATGTGTTTCAAAATATAAAATGCTTGGTAAAAAGGTACAACCGCGATTTTGGGGTTTTGGAGGATGGGGGGGGGGAGGGGGGGGGGGCTAACCTCCCCTAACTACTCCCCCCCCCCCCCGGAGACGCATAGTTTCAGAGATATTCAATAAAGAAGGTACGACCGCGATACCAAAATTTGGGGTTTTGGAGGATGGGGGGAGGAGGGGGGGACCTCCCAAACCCCCCTAACTACTCCCCCCCCCTCGGAGACGCATAGTTTTAGAGATATGCAATAAAGAAGATACAAACGCGATACAAAAATTTGGGGTTTTGGAGGATGGGAGGGAGGGGGAGCCCCCCAAAGCCCCCCTAACTACTTCCACCCCCCCCCGGAAACGCATAGTTTCAGAGATATGCAATAAAGACATTTTGAGGTTATAAATTTATAAAAGTTACATTATTGTGCATTTTAGAGAATTTGGATGGGGAACCCTTCCCCCTACCTTCAACCCGGGGAGGGTTGAAGGTAGGGGGAGGGGTTTTTGACCTTTGTTTAAGTATACATTTAACAATCGGTACTTAAATCCATTATATGTAATCGAATTTTGGGGTAATTTGTAGGGGAGGGGGGGCTCTCCCCGACAACCCCGCCATAAAAGATTTTTGGCGGAAATGCAGTTTTTTTTTACCTAACCTAAAAATTCATTAAATCTGTTAAATGTAGTGGAATTTCAGGGGGATAGGTATAAGGGAAGACTCCTCAGAGGGAAGGGTAACCCCCCCCCCCTCCCGGCGTTTTTTTTACAGAAATGATATTTATAAAAAATTAGAGGGGTTTTAAAGGTAAAACTGTACTTCCAGGGCCTAGATTTTTTTGTAGAAAGAGTCTCTATTAACGAATTTTTCTTTCTGTTGTTAAGGTCACAACACTAACCTAACCTAACCTAGTGTGAAGTATCACCACACAAGCGGCTCATTAGAGTCCAAAACTCGCACTACACTCGACTCTTCAGGCGAAGGGACAGCAGAACTCGAGGCCGAAGGCTTTGAGGATGCCATGGTAGTCAGACGATGTTAATATCAACAGGAGTACGAAAAAGCTCTCAATTGTGACGAACACAAACACTGACTGACAGATCTCATTAATGGCAGTAAATTGTCACATTTTGACAATAGCACCAACTTAATAAACTTATATTTACCATAGACAACGAGAAACATGTTATTTTTGCATAAAAAAATGGCAGCACTGATCAAAATTTCTGTCAAAATTGACTCATAACCTACAAAAACATTAATTTTCAATAATTTTTTTCTCGAGTTCTATTCGTTTCCGCCTTAAAAGATTTTGTGTACGTGTTTATAATAGTTAATACTTTGCGTGACAAAAATTTCAGCTTGCAACTCAATTACATATAATGGAAAGCTGAGCCAAACTATCAGATATTGTTTGCAAGTTTACAGTAAATTTATTAAAAAATTTAAAATCAAAACGTTTTATTCAAGGCTCTATAAACCCATTACCTTTGCTTGAACAAAACTAACAAGTACAATATATGACAAACCTGTCAAAGTTTAGTCATTATTGACGAAATATTTTCGATTTTCATATTTTTTTTTCAAAGAAACTACGCATCTCCGGGAGATGAAACTTAGCACAAATTACTTCTTAAATACAGATCTTTTCAGTAAAAAATATAACATACATTCAACCTTGGTATCGCGGTTGTACCGTTTAGCCAAATGCTTTCATTGCATGCTACATCTTTAAGTTACAAAACCTACCTCTTGAGTATCAGCTTGAGGTGGTTCTTCTGGAGGCATTTCTAATTTCAGAAACTGTTCCAAGGTATCTATTTCATTAGCTAAGTCAAACTGGTCATAATCCTGAAAACAAATTATTATGCATAAAAACATTGCAAATGATGTTTATAATTTAGTTTTGGAAGTTTCACTTACCCCACAGTATTCATCGTCATTAAAGATTTGGGGAGGAAGCGCAGAGCGCGGGTTCGGGTCACTGACGGTGCCTCCGTTCGACTTGGAATTGTTTTGCATGAATTCTTTGTCATCTTCTTTTCCTGGTTCCGTTATGTCAATGACATCATATTTTATGTTTTTTGAATCTAAGATCATCAATACACGTTGTTGCCTCTTTTTCACCTACAGTTGTTAATAAGCCATGTAATGTAAATCATCAATTTAATAAATCAGTCATTTAAAGTCGTGATGTGCACCCGGCCAACCCAGGGATTTTCTAATATTAAACTTACCTCCTTGTTTCCTGAAATACCACTTATATATATTTTGACAACCATATTTATAAATTAATCTTCTCAGATTAGAATAACAATGAATAAACTTGTAAAAAAATTAAAATAAAAAAATAGGCTTGGCCATTAGTCAATCCGATAATATTTAGTAGCTTCTTGGTGACATTCCATTTCAGTGTTGCAGCATTTGAAAAAATATTACTTCCAAATGAAGCCCACAGAGTGCAGCTGATTCGCATTAAATGGCTGGCACTTCACATGGCTATACGTATTCGTATTTGCTATACTCTATTCAACTTCCTTTGAGACCAATAAAGCAATGCTTCTAAAAGTTTTTTGTCGACTGTAAAGCAGGCGCGGTCGCAGCCTGAAATTTTGGAGGGGGTCACTCACTACACTAATAAAAAAAACGGCCAAGTGCGAGTCGCACCGAGGGTTCCGTACACACCTGAATTTTCAAAAATATTTTTTATTATATGATGTAACTAAAAATTTGCGGTTTTCGCAATTTTTCCTTTATCTGTACTATAAGACGTTACTTTGTACCAAATTTCAAGATTCCAAGTTCACGGGAAATACCCTGTAGGTTTTGATTCCCGTGCGAGTTTCGCAAATTTGCGGCATAAACGGCTGTGGTATCTTTTGATTGCTTTGGCTTAGAAGTTTAATTTTTTCACAGCTCCAAGGGACAGTAGACCTGAGTATTAAATATGAATTACAGTTTGATATCTCCACGCGTTCCTGAGAAAATCGGTATTGACAGACGGACGGACGGACAACAAAGTGGTCCTATAAGGGTTCCGTTTTTTCCTTTTGAGTACGGAACCCTAAAATTAGGTATCTGGAATAAAATAAACATTAATTGCACAAGACACAAATTCATTTTATACATTACTTATAAAACAAATGGAAGTCGTCTTTTTATATTTGCGAATCGGGTGATAATATTTGAGACGTCTGGTACTATTTCCGGGTAAATGTTTAGAAGAGCTAAATCTGTTAATCGCTCTTCTAATATGTTAGCTCTCAACCACGTTTTTAACTAAGCAGCCTTTATCTTGAATCTTTACAATAAACCGACAAAATAATTACATTATTAGAATATTCTTACACAATCTTTATCATAACGACGCATATCGATTGTGCTAGGATTACCAAAACTACGTAGTTCGGTTCCTTGTTTCTAAACTAGTACTAGATGTCATTTCTAAGTTATTTTGGCCATTGTAAGTAGTTCATAAAAACACCACTAGATGTCAGCAAACTATAAATTTATCGCTGTTAGGAGATAGCTAGAAATTTCCTTTTATTATTTGGCAAATTTTTGAGATTTTTCAATTTGACCTTAGATTTTGGGGGGGGGTCATGTCCCCTGTGACAGGGGACATGACCCCCCCCCCCCCCCTTCGGACCGTGCCTGGTGTAAAGATGGCCGGTGTAACCAGACTGATAACAAAAATTCACATTTCAACGTTAATTATTTTCTTTATTCATTCCCTTCAATTAATTAGTATTAAAATGCATTCAAAGTTTGGGAATAGCTACACTTTTAGGTCTTTTTAGTGTCACTTTTTTTAAATTATGATTTGAAATGCGTATAAAATTCGACCTATTGATTGCGCAACTTTTTTATGGTGTATTTACCTTTTGTCTCATTCCTTTTCATGCGCTATAGAGCATGATGTGGATTGATTGTTCAAATAGTTAATACTAATAGCAATAGCCAAGTAAGCATTAGGAAAATCAGTTGATTTAGAGTTTTCTGTTTCCTTATTTTTAAAATTATTTTTGTTTGTACTTTTTTGTGTCTCTTTGATCAGTTGAGTATACCTAAATAATTTATAATATGTCGAGGTCAAACTGTAAATAAAAACTACTATTTTATTAGTTGGTATCATTTGGATTCCTGTATACGTTCCAATTTACATTTTGTTCTGTCAGTTTAGAAATTACCAATGATTACCAATTTTATCACAAACCGCTGAACCTATTTAGATAAAAATGAAATTTGGTACATTAGAAATAGTCCCGAAAAGGGGTATAGGATAGTTTTTATTTTAGAAATTATTCTATAAGAGGTGGAATGGGGGCGGAAGTTTGTACAGAAAACCAACTTTTTTGCATGCTTCACATATCCACGTAGTCTTCCTATGAATTTGCACGCAAGCGCTTATTGAACTCGAAGAGTTTTTTCTTTAGTAAAACAACGTACTTTCTTAGTTGATGCATGCGAACAACCCCTAGCTATATTCTAGCTTTATTGCTGTTGTTGATTGATGTTTATTTTGTTGATCCCGCCACCATCAAACGGGGACGCTCTATTATGAACCGTAACATAAATCAAACTGGTGTGGACCACACTCCACAGCGAATTAAATGAAGGCTGACATCAGTAAACTCCAGATTTTGAAGAGTTGAATTTGTAGAGTCAAAGATAGTCACAGAGGATTTTCCGTTAAAATTTGAGCGCTTGTCTGATAACAAACTCTCTAAGATGAGAGGGCTTAGCACATTTTCCGCTAAGAGGTATCCAACATAGCTAATCCCGTCTAGCAAAATAAACTCCACTTAACAGTAAAAATAGTGAAATAACACTACTTTCTGTTGGTGTTGTGTCTCTGTGAGTAACGTTCCAGGGCTCCACGAGTCAGGGTTGGCAACAGTGCAAGTGCTATAGGTAGCAGTAAACTTCTTAAGCAAAACCACAGAAAAATAAGCTTGCGCAGTTGGCGTTTTTATATATAAATTGCTACTAATATATTGATAACTACAGCAAGCGTATTTTAGATTTGGTTGCCGCTTACCACCATCAAGGGGGCCTTATGCAGATGCAGTGACGGAAGACCAATTTCAGAATTTAAAAATGCCGCGGAACCTTGATTTTTTTTTTTTCAGGAAAACAAACCTTTTTATATATTTTTTCTTTTCTTTTACGGTTTTATTGGCGACTTGCCGGGTTTCAGGGTGTCGCCACTCAACGAGCAAATGATTGTATGATGAATGAGAGCATTTGTACCAAGTAATGAATGTTTTTTTAAATTTCTAGATAAACATCGTTATAAACTAAAGGACCTTATTCATTATCCATCTTGCTGGATCCAGCATGCGGGACAGCGCTATACACGTAAAAGAGATGGAGATACAGGTTCTCTTTTACGTGTATATCGCTGTCCCGCATGCTGGATCCAACAAGATGGATAATGAATAAGGCCCTTTATTCTATCCGTAGTAGTTACTTGTCCTAGTATCCCATACGAAAAGCCTTATAGTGCTTACATTAGGACTAGACTAATTGGAGTGTAAAAATATATTAATTACACTTACAGACTACCAAAATTTTGAGTTTTAAGTTAAAAACATGATAAGCGATAAAAGGCACCCTAAGGCACCATATAAAACCAAGAGATAAACTATTTTAGATGCTTTTTGTTGGTGCCGTGATGAACAGGGCACCAACCAACGGGAATCAAGCTAAGGCCGACAGCGTGAGGATGGCGTCCGCCGCATCAGTAGCCAATCACACTTAAAATCAGATGGATTGGAGTAATTATTTGCTTTTTATATTTTTGTAAATGGCATTTCACTTGCTGTTAGCTTTGCTATTTATTAATTTGATGATAGTGCCAAGTCTCTTCTTTTCATCTCTTGCGGCCAGTTATAACAATCAAACTCCAGTAAGGAATAGACCTATTAGAACTTTGTTTTATTTTTGGAGTGAAACTTCCTTTCGGATGGGGTGTAAATGGTAAAGATAAAACGGAAATGAGTCACAAGACTTTACACACACACACCACACATACACACACACAAACAAACACACACACACACAAACAAACACACACACACACGCACGTCTGTGTGGGATGCGTGCGCATCTCTTCCAGACGAGCATGAAATTGTAGGATAACAACTGTTGCTAAGAAACGGAACCATAATATTAACCTTACCTTTTACTGGAGGTTGATTATTAGTGATATGAATCGCCATGTGAAGCACTAGTATAAGATAACGCGCATTAAACTTTCAGCTTGGCTCTAAAAATGTAAATGAAAAAGACCATGACGGGGACTGTCGCTAAAAGTATACCAATGTCTGATATGCTACTTGCGGAGACCAACGTACTTTCCTCGTATCACTTCAATAACAGTAGAGTGATGATAAAGGTTTAAGAATAATAAAAAAGCAGAGATGTAAGTACAAATTTATTAATACATATAAATTATAATACATAGGCGTATTGTCCTGTAAATATGAATAGTGCTCTATCGCGACAAATCATGGCAATACCTACAACGCGAGCACGCGTGGAATGTACTACACAGTCTTCTTTCAAACGCAAATCAATGCCTGAATCAAATCTCGTATGTTCCTAAAACTCACATGTTAAACCACGCTATCTAAACGACCAAAATCTTGAAAACACATTTTAACTATTTAATATCTACAAATTCGCGATAATTGCGATTGACATAATACATTTTCATAAAACTAGATCGTTCCATTACTACTTCATGAAAACATAATTATTTATATATGCAAAATAATCATAAATAAATGACATACATTCTCCCTTATAATAACGCGGTATAGTGTAGGTAGTCATGACAAAAAGTTATTGACTAACAACAAACATTCCTCAATAGAAGATGCAAAGAAATGGTCAAATTATTCATCAAATTGTTGCGTTTGTCAAAACTTAAATAAAAGGTAGGTTTTTTTTGTAATTAAGTTTTCATCATTCATATACGATGTACGTAATAACGTGAGCCGTTTGTCTAGCATGTGTAGTGTAGTTGTTGTTGACAATATTCGGAAATATTTCTGGCTCGGTGCCAAATTGTGTCGCTACGGGAAGATCAGTCGGATGTCTGCTGGCTCGTGATACCCACATTATCACATATAAAATTAGATCTAATCAACAAACCGACAGCGACAGCTATTACATTTTCAGCTTGTTTGGATTAAGCCAACTATACTTACTATATCTCCATCATCTAACACTGCTACTTTTTTGGAAAATCAATCCCAACCAGTAACAGTGTTAGTGTTACAGATGATGGACTCGTTAAGACAAAAATGGGAATAAAGAAAATCAAATCATTGTTTTAGTTAACCCTAATTTAATTTACATATCTACAAAAAATATGCGGTTAAATTACACAAATACATCTACAAACAGAGGAATGTTTTAAGAACGTATAAATAAAAAAATATTTTTTTGATATGCAAAAATAAATAGTACTCACGAAAATTAATCTAAAATAATAAAAAATAAACGATAAAATTTCAGACTTCTTGTTAGTAGCAACAACAAAATTAAAAAATATATAAAAATACACAGGTATTCTAGATATATTCACGCCATATAAATAAAAAAGATTGCTATAAAAAAATATATCAGAGTCTTAGTCAACGGTGACTGTTTACTGCAATGCTCTATGCTGCTGCAAAAAAGTTCATAACAGAACTCAAGTGTTATCACTGAACATAGATTAATTTTAAAGGTGGCCTAAGAAATGACACCACCCAGACAACGGATGTTTAGTAAAAAATACTGCAGAATAATTTTAGCTGATTTCGTAGCAAAAAGTCACCGTTGACGATTCCACAAGCATAGTGTGTATTTACATCAGTGGTTCTTAACGTTTCAGTGATGAGGGACCATATGTAATACTTGGTAGTAAATCGAATCAAAATATAGGTCAGTGAGTTTATATACACTTACTTATGTAATATTTTTTTGCATTACTCCGAATATTTCTGATGCTTCCAGGGACCACCAGTGGTCCGCGGACTACTGGTTAAGAACCACTGATTTATATGGTTCTAATACTACCGGTTCTAATATTTTAACAACGCGCAATAAGTCACAAATATTACAATAGGTGTACATACCTTACAAAAAACTTATAAAATTATAAACCGTTACAAATATTTGTGCGGCATTATCGCGGTTATAATATATATCTATAAACAGTTCGAATATTTAGCTAACACACAAAGAACCGAGTGGAATATGATTGTTAGATTTGAGTTACAATAAAAACAAAGCACCAAATTACTAAATAAATAACCTCATGAAGTTCATTTGTATCTATATAATTATACACACTGCACTCTCCACTGAGAGTGAGTGTGTATAATTATTAACACAGTCTGATCACATCAAGTGATAATTTCATTGCACTGCAACCGTTTAATAGGCCGAAAAATATACGTAACGCTAATTCAAGCTCATTTAGCATACTGGACGTTGAGCAAGCAATTAACGCCAGCACAATGAGCTATGATATTGCACAGCCTGATCTTTGCTATACCATTCAAATGGGCTGCAAATAAAATTACATAACTGCATATTTTAATACGGCTTGGCTTTTCCGTGAGTTTCGACTCTTTCGACTTTACTTTGACTTGAGTCTAAAAATAATGCTATCACCTTTGTTTGCTAGAGACAGAGACAGCATTAGGTTAAAACCAAGTCCTAACTAAACAAAAAACAACAAAAAGATTACAGAGTGACGATTAGGTACTCATCATAGATTTTTCTATAAGTTTTAGGTTTTCAGTCTAAGATATGTGTCGAGTACTTTGGTTTAAGAAATATTGTTTAAAAAGGAATCCCAATTTCACAAAGGTCAAAATTTAGCTATCACAAGAATAATAATAAAATAACAATCACATAATTCAGTCCGATCATTGAAAAATATTCAGCACTGCACATCATCAGTTAAACAAACAAACGTTTCTATAAAACAGAAATCCATACGCCTATCAACAATCTCAAATGAATATTCTTCTAATGATATATAAAAGATTTTGCCGCCTAATAGTTACAAAGTTTATGATTAAACCTCTGGTTTACATTACACGGTTAAAGATAACTGTCAATTTTTAACACACATTTACAATAACCGTGACCACGACCATAACGAGTGACAAAAAACCGATGAAACACCAAAACTATGTACTATATCTTACAATGGCGACACAAAGACATTATATAACCGTGTGATGTGAAGCAAAGAGACAATATTGCAATAACATTATAATATTGAAGATCATGAAGTTCCTACCTACAGCGTAATTTCTTTCAGCCACTCTATTAGGCTACACGTACAGTCGAACTGTGAACTTAGCTCTTAGAACTACGTGAAAAAGGCTGTGAATGTCAATTATATTCACTACAGCGTAGCCTCGTGAGAACGGTCAACTGAAAATAGGATTATCCAGAGCTATCAAATTTCTCAATATATGGTGGAACGTAAACTTCAATGAATGAATCGAATTTAACACAATGGCATATTTGCAAAGTTAGAGATTGACAATTTAATGTTTCTTCTCATTATTGAATTAGAACTAACATGAGTACCGCATAAAAGTGATCAAGCGCCGACTTTTGATACAGTACGTTCATACCCGCCTGCGTTTATCTATTTAATATCAAACTTGTTTCGAACTCTACGTCCTACAGGAGATGGTTTCGGATAATCTTATGTCATTCCTGTATGCCATTCTTAATATGATTGGCTTTGGTCTTATTGGATTGGCTATGATTCTAAAGGCACCCGAAAATGGCAATTACGCTGTCAAAAAAGATTTACGATTATTAGCTATCTACGATTTCAATTTTAGCAAAGTGCTTTTAGATTCTAATGGAATGACAAACATTTAAAAAAGCGATTTTAAATTATATATTGCTAACATAAAAGGCCCGTTGGCAGAACGAGGTGTTAAAGGCGCATAATTCCTATACTGTATCGCTGTTTGGTAAAAAACTTATACTAAATAGCAAAATCTTACAGATTCATATTTGTGATGGTTAAAATAGATGTATATCTAATCAAAATCTCACAGAGCAACTCCACTGGAAACCGCATAAGGGCTCAAGCATGCCAAGCTTATGAAGTGTTACCGGATAAGAGTGAGACCAGACGCCAAAACGTCGAACAACATTAATAAATAGTTTCAGCCAATTTATCATCCCACCGTGACGTTATACTGACGTGTCCAATCAAAACACGGCTTACCCTCCCCGCACGCCGCGCCGCTAACTTTGGCGATTTCAATAAAAATTTAAAATGCGTTATCTAGTGAAGGTGTTAAGTGATATCTACAAAACACCTAACGAAAGAATGCGTGTCTGACAAGTCGTGTTGTCAGTTCCATAAAGCGGCTGAATTTGAGTTCAGTTTCGGACCTCTTTTTTAATAGAACGAAAGTGTACTTTCTGTTAGCTCAAGACCTGTCCAGGATCGCATTCTTTCGTCGACCGCACTTTGGAAACACAATCTCTCTTATGTGATGTAAAGGCTAGCTAGAGTTAGGAGGCGTCCTAATTGGCAATATCCTGCGATGGCGCGATGCGATCTCATCGTGCGATGAAAATAATGTACCTGTGCTCTTGCGACGCCTTACGAGCTGTATAAGAACACCTATGAAGATATCTGTATGTTTGAAAATCATCGTACGACAAGAATGCATCGTGTCATCGTGCGATCGTTGCCAATTAGGACGACGCCTTGATGTGATTCGGTGAGCTCACACGGGTGTTCCGAAGTCGGGATCGCCGTCGCCGGCGAGTAGGCGCGGGAACTTCCCCCGCTCCGCCTCGCCGTTAGTAGCCGGCGCGGGCGCAGGCGCGAGTGCGGAAACGGGGGCGGGAACGGTTACGCGACGCGCTGAACCTATCCTGTTCATTCCATAGAGGTAAATTAATAGAGTAGGAGAGAGAGTAGGGAGATATAGACTCTACTATAAGTGGAAGTATCCCTCTAATAGAAAGAGAAAGAAGATGAGACCGCTAGCTTTCTCTCTCTAATCGAGCATGCGCATTGGCAACCGTAAGCATCTTACTATTTCGATGTGATGCTATTGGATGCCATGCGTCAAGAGAGAGATAGCTAGCGGTCTCTCATCTTCTTTCTCTTTCTACTAGACGGACACTTTTAGAGCCGCCTTCCCCACTCTATTCTTATACCTCTATGGTTCATTCACATCAAGTTTCAATAATCAATCTCCAGCTAAGGTAGTGAGCCCCCTTTTTCGCACGTAGACTCCGAGATTAGTTCATTGTGCGTGCAGTGCGAAGTAGAAAGTAATGATCAAATCAAATCAAAAATAAATTATTCTGTATAAGCTGTTAGAAGCACTTGTGAAGGTCGAAAAGCTACGCCATCGGTTCTCAAATCTACGGCGAGAGACCAAGAGACTGCAAGCAAGGGCCGCTTTATATACAGGGTCATCATTGCTGTTTATGCTAGTTCTTACCATCAATTGTTATTTTGACCTAAATAATAAAAATATATAGGCAAATAAGCTCTGATAGACAGACCTGTCTCTTAGTGGAGAATGATAATAATTGAAACGAGTCGTAAACGTATAGGGCGATTCAAACGTATTAATGGATCATTATCAACTCTGAGAGCGATCTTGAGTACGATGTCGAGATGCTGTTTTGTATGAAAACAGTATTTCAAGAACATTGTTTCTGAGTTGAGAGCGATCTTTTAATGCGGGCCTTAAAGGCGGTGGTGAAGATAGCAGCAATAGCGCACTATGCGCTTGCGCAGATCTAAATTTTATTTACATCGAGTAGATTCTGCAACATACGACAGTGAGATTTGTATGTCCTATTGGGTCGCAACTTATAGATTTTCATTTGCATCGTAGTGTATTTTAATATGCAGTTTCGTGATGTAAATCCAGAAAAAGGGTCACATAGGAGGTAATATAAACATCAGGGTAATGTTCAGTGTTCTTCAAATCTTATACAACGTGTAACAGAAATAACGCACACCCTGAATAGTTTGGTTAGAATTGACTTCTTAATCGATTTAAATAAAAAAAGTATTTAAAAAATAATTTCGGAAAAAATAATTGACATTAAATTAAATTAATATTTTTTAAACAAAAGAATATGATATTGAATAGACAGTAATAAAAGATATTTTTAAACGCAGCGGTACATTACACGATTTTACTAACATTAAGATGTCACTGGTTAAACTGATTAAATTGAAATATAAATTACTGAAATTGATTCATTTGCATATTTAACAAACTTCTTTTAGGGTGTGCGTTATTTCAGTTACACGTTGCGTTGTATATTTCAAGTTTTTAATTGATCTTCTTATTCTATTATCAAACTGTTAACCTCCCTAAACTACTATTTATAACCTTACCTAACAGTACTATGTAAAGGGTTTTTCAACAAGAACTTTGTTTTCTAAAACAAAATTAAACAAAAAAAATAGATGAAGATGATTAAATTTTTTATTGAATTACAAAGAGAAAAGTTCGGCAATTATGTCCACCACGAGCACGCCGACAGTTATCGATTCTTTCATCAAAGTTTTTAATCACTGTTTGGCAAAATGGCGGGAATATTTCGTTAATCACATCACGGATTTTGAGTTTTAAGGCTGCAATCGATTCGATTGGCCCCGTATACACTCTGTCCTTAACATAACCCCACAAAAAATAATCTAGTGGTGTTAAATCACATGATCTGGCTGGCCACTTAACAGTTGAGTTTATTGAAATTATGCGATCGGAAAATTTGGTTTGCAATAAATTGATCGTTTCATTCCCTGTGTGACATGTGGCGCCGTCCTGTTGAAACCACATATCAGTGATATCCACGTCATCAATAATAGGCCAAAATTCGCCATTTGGTGGTTCTGGATAACCCCAATCGTTGAAAACGTCGCGGAATTGACAAATTTGGATCTGCCTCAACACTGTGGCTCAAGGCTGCGATGCTTTCAGTTGAACGACCCGGTCGAACACGCGTTGGTGTTGGCACATTTTGTATCAAGCCTATTAACTCAAATTTAACGAACAAATTCTTAATAGCGGTCTCAGAAGGACGATTATGTTGTCCGAAAATATCACGAATTTGACAAAATGTAACTGTAACAGAACCACTATTTTCATTTTAATTATTTTAATTCGATTTTCAAGCGAAATTGAATTCATCGTAACAATTGCTAATGCATCTACTACGAATACGTCAAAATACTAAATGTGAAAACTATCATATTGTTGGTATAGCCATAATTGAAAAACAAAGTTCTTGTTGAGCAACCCTATATTTACTGGACAGTAATTAAATAGTACGGATCGGCGGGTGCTAACGACTGCAAATGCAGCCGGGACCAACGGTTTAACGTGCCTTCCGAAGCACGGCGAAACTCGAAATAGAAGATTTTTGGTCACCCATCCAATGACCGACTACTGAGAAAGTTGCTTAACATCAATGATCGCAGCCGAACGCGGTACTCACCCGCGCCATCAAGCTCCTCAGCACTCATCTGAGCTCAGCTCGCACTGGGCCCGCGTGGTGGGTCATGGCCCAATCTCCCTATTCCATCCATAGGGAAGGCCTGTGTCCCAGCAGTTGGGACACTAATAGGCTGATGATGATGAATTAAATACTATGGTATAATAACGTACCGGAATCCTTTGCTCTCTCTCCTGATGGGTTTGGCCTCGCCGTTGGTTCTGATGTGTTTGGCTTCTAGCTGCAGCAGAGGCGGTGCGGGCTCAGGCGGCGACTCGCGCTCCACGGGCGTCGCTAATAGCGGGGAATCTACCGCTATACATAAATGAATAAATATAATGTCAACTTCATATTAAACTAGTGCGTGCCCGTAACTTTGTTTGCGTGATTTTATTGGGATTTCAATACAACTTGTATTATATCCACCCCCTTAAGAAATAATTTCTACAATAATTTATGTTATTAGCGGTATTGCTACCATGTACTTTGTTTTTACGAATCCCCGCTATTTCGGCATTTGCAAGCGCCATGATCGGGGAGTAACTGAAGTTACTGCGGGTAGAAAGACATCGATGATTTCTGGGAGAAAAACTATCCTATGTCCTTTGCCGTGATTTCGTTTGATCATCTTTCATCTAAATTGGTTCAGCGGTTAAAGCGTGAAGAGGTAAGAGGCAAACAGACACACTTTCGGATTTATAATATCAGTATGGATAGTGGCGTTTCATGATGCAAGTGGTTAGCGCCATCGGTCTGCGATCGTGGAAGTTAAGCATCTTTCGCAATGAACCGTGGATGAGTAGAAGATTATTTTTTCGAACTCTTCGTGCTTCGGAAGGCATTTTAAGTCGTTAGTCCCGGTTGCATTTGCAGACGCCAAGTTAGCACACGCCAATTCCAATACAGATCTAAGTTAGCGTGGTAGGTCATGGTCTAATCTCCCTATAACATGTCTCACCGGGATTCGAACCTGTTATTTCTAACTTAGCGACATCTGGAAACCCGGCGTACAACTACCTCGCCCCACAGAGGTCGTCTTTGGCAAGTGTTTGTTGTTTGCAGCATTACAGCAAACAATATGAACGTTTTACACAACAATAAAACGATTATTATGTGCCGAATGAAAACACAGCATTGTCCACATTGCTTCTTCATATATAGTAGGAGAGCTAGCGACGTCACGAAAAAGTTCATTTTAGGTCGGCTAATTTTTGTATAATTCCCATTCTTATTGACAGTGGGTTGGGATGCGGTACGTCTGGCACCTGGAAGCCGTTGCGTTCAGTTGCGCGCATCCCACCTGTACAGGTAAAAATTGTGCATTTTGAAATCATTTTAGGACAATTTTTTTTTAGAAATTTTATGTGTCTCGTTAGCAATATAAATTTATAATTGCCAGACATTTTTGTCGTTGCTAACCTTGCCCCAGACACAATTTCAAAAATTAAAAAATAATTATTTTTAAACAATTTTAGTATGTCTTCAACTTTGATATAATGTAGTTCAGCAATAAAAAAATATGAGAAAAATTTGCCAGACAGAAATTCCGTTACTTAATAAGAATTCAAGTCAATTTAAGTTTCGGAGAGAATAGGTTAATTATAAGAGTGCGGTGCTCAGAGTGGGTAGAATTCGTATCCCTTGTAGAAATTCTTCTCCGAAATTTCTCAAAATTTCTCCGAATCTTCCGAATATTTCCAATTTTTTACACTTTTTGAGGCAATTGAGAGAAAAAATGGGTTATCTCCGAAAAAATGGGAATACGATTTTCTCCCGTATTTTCCGAGCTTCGATGTGCTTACTGCAGTTATATTGAACTTTAGATTCCTTGACTATTTATCGTGCACATATTTCCAAAAATGGACAAATCATAATTGAATAATTTTACTTGAAAATATTACTATTATGACGAAAATTTTATTTAGTTCACGACAAGCAATGGATTGCACCAATGGATTCGGAGAAATCTCCAGCAGTAAAAAATTATGATATTCTTCAGAAAATTTTGGAATGATTTATAAATTATTTGATAAATTATGAGTTTCTCAAAAAGCGTAATGAATATGTAAAAAAGGATTTTTTTAAGCATTTTGAATAATTTTGTGAAAAATTCGGAGGAAGTTTTCCACTAGATATGTGATAAATGTCGAAATAAAAAAAATATTTCTATGTATATAGGTTAGAACTTCTACACTAATTGAATGGAATAATAAATAAACTAAAATGAGATAGCATAAATTGATAAAACATATTATCAGAAAAATAATAATTGTTTTATTGTAAATAGCTGAGAATTGGGTAGGATATACAAATTAAAAAACATGAAATACATTAAAGATGAGTAATTATTATTATTATTTTTAATTAATAATTTCTTGACATCCAAATTCTTCGGCGTCAAGATCATCTTCGTCACTGCTATTGTTGTCATCAATATTCATATCATCATTATCATGACTGTGATAAGCTAGTACAAGATGTACTAGGAACATCAGTAATCGATGAAAAGTTAGATACACATTCATTACGATATTTAGACATCAATGATGTAAAAGTACTATAACAATGTCTATGGTATCCAACAGTAGCATTCACATTGTCCGGTAACTTCACATTTTTATATTTTAGGTTGAACTTAATACGAGCATTTAAAATTTCTGCACACTTTTTCAATTTTTCTTCGTTAAATATTATTATTTTACCACCACCAAAAAACACAATTTTCTTTTTCGTTAGCCATGACGAAAAAATTATTTTTTTCTATTAAAAAACACGAGACAACAAAATACAAGAGTTTACACTCGTGTAGGCGACGCCATGTTGAAAATAGCAGCTGTGGCTATACTTCTCTCCCTCTACCGCTCTCTGTCACAGCTATCTCTCTCACACAACGGTCGAATTAGTTTCCGCACTCTTCTAACTCACCTATTCTCCCCGAAAATTAAATTAATTTAAATTCTCATTAAGCAACAGAATTTCTGTCTGGTAAATTTTTATTATATTTCTTTATTGCTGAACTACATTATATCAAAATTACAGACATACTAAAATTGATAAAAATTATTATTTTTTAATTATTGAAATTGTGTCTGGGGCAATGTTAGCAACGACAAAAGTGTCTGGCAATTATGGTTTTATATTGCTAACGAGACATATGAAATTTATAAAAACAAAAAAAATGTCTTAAAATGATTTCAAAATGTACAATTTTTACCTGTACAGGTGGGATGCGCACAACTGAACGCAACCGCTTCCAGGTGCCAGACGTACCGCATCCCAACCTACTGTCAATAAGAATGGGAATTATACAAAAATTAGCCGACCTAAAATTCATTCTCGAAAACGTTGCCAGCTCTTATACTAATAGCAATGATGTGTTTTCCGACAAGCACATACATAATATGCATGTGTAGGCGCCATATATCGACGTGTCATTCCGTGTATGGGGTTTTCTAAAGATTACAGACATTGACGCGTTGGCCATGCTTTAGCGACTGCAGAGTGGCGAGGAATGAATACTGCGCCTTACCGCCTAGTATGCCACGTTGAGGCGGTTGCGCGATATTATTTGCTCGGGTCAAAAATGAGAATTGGCGAGTGTCTCTAGAGGTATTCCAGGCGGATGGCATCTCCCCACGGGGGGAGTCTCCTCTCCGTCTGGAGCCTCTAGACCACTCGAACCCGACGGGGTCGGCTGAACTGGAGGGCGTCTCTGAGACTCGAACCTCGGCTCTAGTTAGCCGTCGTCATGGGAGAAACGCCCAGGGGCCCAATTCTCGCGGCGTAGATATTATATCGGCTTCGAGATAATATCGAAAGTAGGGATATCTATTGAAAATATCTACTGATGGGAAAAAATGCTATTCTCGTGGATTTTCGATATTCCAATGATATTATATCTATCGTAGATATTCGTTCACGGCCGAATACGTTCCGTTTTTCTCGATTAAGTTAACATCATAGTCAATACAAAATTATAATAAATTAAAGCGGTATTTTACAAGCAAAAAAATGCTATTTTATATTTTATGAATGCCATTCATATTAAATATGAGTATACATTTTTGAGTATAAGAAATCTCATCTTTTCCTAAATTGTATGCGTATATATATAATAACAATGTTAAGTATAATGAAACGTTAATAAGAAAACGTCATTCATAACTTTGTAACGTTAAAAATTATGTGGGAAATTTTTGAAACTTAGAAACATTCATTATGATGGAAATTTCAGTAAAAAAAAGAGGTGCTTACCCCACGGCTGACCAGAAAAGAATGTTAATTGAATTAGTAAACGAAGACGAAGAATTAAAAAGGGGAAAATTTTCGACTTCGTTTACAAAAAAAAATGCCTCGGCTCGCTGGACTATAATAGCCGAAAAACTTAACGCCTTGGTGGGTGCAAAAAAATCCCCAGCAGAATGGAGAAAGGTAATCAAAAGTAACTTGTACAAATTCCTATTTTATAATGTATTTAACCGTGAATTTTGATGATTTCTTTCTTACTACTTTTTAGACATATCAAGATAAGAAGGCCTTAACAAAAAAGAAGGCGGCTGCCATAAGACGGTCAGCTAACTTGACTGGTGGTGGTCTACCTCCTCCACCTTTGGAGAAAGAGGAGGAATACCTTCTCCAAACAATATCTAATGCTGCTCTTGTAGGGCACACAGACAGTCAAGAGTCGGAAGTTATGTTTATAGGTACCTACTTCATTATTAATATTCATTTAATCATTGTTATTAGTAAATGCTGTATTTCATCATAAGCAGCCAGTGTTTTACTTATGGATACAATCACATTGTGAATATGTGAAGCATAAAAGACAGATGTGTAGTTGAAAGTGTTTTTGTTTTCTTAGTGTGTTTATTACTTTGTTACAAATAATGTATATGCCACTTTGTGAGATAAAAGTACAGTAACTTTTTAACAGTCTTTATTTTGATATGTTACAGATGATTCTGAGGACACTAATAAAAATCAAGGTGGGAGAGCCATAAAATTCAATTCTAGATAATGTCATAATTTTGGTTACATTACTTACATTAAATTCATTCTTACAGGTGATGTTTCAAAAGAATTCCATAACAATATTTTACAGTCAAATGAAGATATTGTTATTCTTGAAGGTAAATATATTTAATATACCTTTATACTTTATTCATAAAATCATTAAACAACATTTTGACTACATGTTTGGTGCAACAGTAAGGATACTTGCCTTCTGCGCAGAAGTTTTCGATTTCGATGCCGGGTTCGATTCCCAAGACAAATATTCAGGCATGAACATATTTATTTGTCATGGTCTGGGTGTTTAATTTGAATAGTATGTATGTATTCACAAAAAAAGTATTTAAGTATGTTTATCCATACCACAAGTTAATGAAACTTACCTTGGGCTAGATAGTTGTTATTATATTACCCATGTATTTAGTATTCAAGTAATATTTGAAGATGAATATGCATCAAAGTAATTGTTTAGACACATCCTTGTTAATTAAACACAAAAATCTAGCATCTTTATTTCTTACTCTCATTTTTGTAAAATATTTTTCATCAAGTTTACATAAACATCAATGTTATTATTAATGCACCTAATACAGGATGCATGGAACCTTTTATAACTTAAAGATGTGGATGATATTTTTACTAATTAATTAAATTTCTTTCAGAAGGTGTACAACAATCAAATCAATATGATGTTAATGGACAAAATACTACAAATATATTGGAAGGTGATTAATTTACATATTTATTTGTAATATAAGTATTGTATGCTTTTTAAATGTTATAATATTTTTAATTATTTCAGATAAAACTAACACAGCAACTAATGAGGCTGATGCAGCAGGCAAGTGTAAATAAAAAAAAAATTGGTAACACCAGTTTGATTATTCAATATTTAATTAAAATTATTGAGCTATATGGATACTTATTCTGGTGTAGATAAGTAATAAAAGAAAAACATAAGTACTACTTACATAAATATTAAATTAATATTATTATTTGTTTTCAGGTCTAACTAAAAATAAGAAAAATATGCCAACCAAAGGAAAAAAACGCCTGCAAGAAAGCCTAAGTGTAGCCAAAACTATAAGTAAACTACTAGAAGAAAAAAATGAAGCAGAGAAAAAGTTTTATGCTACTATGGTTACAACTATGGCTTCAATAAATTCCAATTTAATAACTTTAAATAAAACTCTTGAAATAATTTCAAATAAATTAACATAATACTTAACAACCAAAATCATAGCTGTGTAAACATTTTTTCTCTTTTATTGTTAATGTTCAAATTACTTAAGTTTTAATTTATTAAGCCATGAATGCTAATATGTTAATTATTGCCTTATTCAAAGTGATTTTATTTTTGGTAAATAATCAATAATTACTAATTAAGCATTTATATGCACAATTTTATACCTGTGATGTAAGTTTAAATTTTGCTAGTTACAATTATAATGTTTATTTTTTAAGCATGTAACTGCTTGATGTTTAAATCTAATTTAAACATTAAGCAGTTAAAAAATAAACATTATAACTATAATTGCTATTTCTTCTTTCAAATGTTTATTACTTGTAAAAAAAGTATTTATTTGACATTGTGTAAAAGTATTTATTTGACATTGTGGGTTACCTACAATGCGAAGAAATGGCGCTGCCTTGCAGCTTAAGAATGGCTAGAAGAATTATAAGCGGTAGCATAATTGGTCAGTGCATTCGCCCGAATAGCGAAGGGTGTGGGTTCAAGTCCCGTCTGCTGCCTGGGCCACTTGGATCTTTTTGTAGTTATATTTTCTTTAGTTACAATTACTTTAAAAGTGATTTTTTTAATTGTTCTTGGCTTAAGAGAAGGTATAGTTTATTGTTTTTAATAAAAGAATTGTCTATTTATGAAAAATAATTATTTATTATGAAATCCTGTTTAGCCCGCCCCAAAGATAAATAATGGTTCTCTCTCTGTGTCAAAGTAATAAGTGGAGCAACATCAACGTTACCCATAATATCATCACCCTCATCTACTTCTGGAAGGTCTAAGTTATTGGCCATGCACATGTTATGCAGCACTGTGCAGGCATTAATAATTTTTGTGGCCGTAGAGGGCTTGTAGTGCAGGACCCTATCTTTTAAAAGGCAGCGGAATCTGGCTTTTAAAACGCCATTGAGTCTTTCTACTGTAGCACGAGTTGTTTTAAGTGCCTCATTGTACCTATGTTCTGCGGTGCCTTCAGGAGGGTTAGATAATGGAGTCAACATCCATGGCCTCAATGCATAACCACTATCACCTGCAACAAATGCATTGTAATAAGAACTTATTTCACACCAAAATCAATTAACAACTCGAAATACAGCTGAAAAATTGTTATTTACAGTCTGGTGGGTTAATACTTACTAATAAGACAGTAATGAAAGTTATTGACCTCTGCTTAGACCCTACAAGGTATATTTTTCATGTACTATCCTCATAAAATCTAATGTTAACGTTCTTAACAAATAAAATAAAGGAAAAGAAAATTAGCTTACCAATTAAATGGTAATTCTGGTGGCCAGTCCTATGCAGCTGCTCCATTAACGTTAGTACCTGGGAGTTGTTCCATATATAACTGTCATGGGTGCTTCCAGGAAACAGAGCATTGACATTCAGTATTTTCAATTTGGCATCGCATATCTGAAATAAATATTGTTGATGTATATTGAGATAGCTCATTTATTTTCAAGTTATACTTAACCTCTAATAATATATACAGCTTTAGTACATACCAGTTGGACGTTGATAGAGTGGTAATTTTTTCTATTGACATATGCTCGTTCATCACATGCTAAATATCCCCGAGTTGGTGGTGGCACAATTGCAACATGTGTACAATCTATGCAGCCAACTACACCCGGAAATTGGTATATGTCATAAAACCTGGAAAAGTAATAGGCAATAATATTACTTGTTGGTCATAATTATAAAGGTACCACAAAACTGACAAGGAATTCAAAAGGCATTTACATGGGTAAATACCAATGTTGGTAATTTAAAGCTTATATATTTTTACTTACTCCCTTAGAACAGCATTGAGTTCTTGGTGTGTACGGGGAAAATGAACCCACTGTTTAAAAATAACTTCATTGTTTAAGGCATTGATTATATCTTTAATGCATCTTGACACGGATGGCTGTGACAAATTGATTATATAGCTGTTGCCAACGGGTGTTTGGTAACTTCCTGTGGCGAAGAAATTTAAAGCACAAAGCACCTGAAATTTGAATAATACAACAATAAATAATCTTGGATATGCACTTGCCCATGATATGATAATTCACTTAAATTTGAGAATACTGACAAAATTATTTCCTACAGATTACATTGTAAATTACAAATTACTCACTTTGGTTTTAAGGTCTATTTCTTTTTGTTCGATAAAAGGTTCCACCATATTCATCAGATTTCTCACCAAATTTTTGTTCAAACGAAAATTTTTTATGAAATCGGCGTCCCTCATTTCAAATGGGTCCTCTCTGCTCTCACAACGGCGGCGTCTTGGCACAGCAGCAGCAGTCGCTTCATTTATTATATCATTAACGAAAACATGGATCAACTCATCCATCGTTACTTTTTACCTACTTCTTTATTTACTAATTATTTTAGTTATCAATATCTTTAATAGCATTAATTGGCAATGAAACACGGCAACCGACAACACAGTATAGGTAAAAAAAATGAAAATGACAACTTTGACAAGCCAAGATCCATAGATATTTATATATCGAAGGCTCTTTACCAATCGATGTATGTCTACTGATCTTACGTAGATAAATGTCTATTGCGACATGGTGAGAATAGGGCAAAATGCTTTTCCTTCGATAAAAGCCAGTTCATTCGATATATATCGAAGGTGATATAATATCTATGCCGCGAGAATTGGGCCCCTGGTACCTGGTATAGCGTGTCGTGTGTAGACTGGGACTTCGCACTCTTATCCTACGGGTGCGGTGTCTGCTTAATGCTATGCTAGTGTGCTAGCTGTGTAGTGTAAGTGTTTGTGACCTGTTTGGGAGGAGTCGGAGGCGCGTTGGCGCGGGTGATTTCATCGTTGGGATACTCTAAGACGTGCCTAGGCCGACGGAATCGGAGGGACTGACCGGCGCTCGCTACGTGTAGTGTGGGCACTTACCAGCGTCCAGCGCGGGCGTGGGTGTGGGTGGCGGCAGATCGTCGGAAGAGGGCGCGTCCTCGACGGCGCGGTACGCACCCTTCGTGCGCCAGTCCTGACAGTACCATAGCGATCATTATTGTATACGTTTAGTACTTAGATTAAAACAAAAAGGGAAGATACGGTACGCTCATACTAGCATCAAATAAAATATGTTCCGATTCAACTACATAAGGAACTCTCACACACGCTCACTTCTGTAAATAAACATTCAATCGAGCGAGCGAAACAGAATTGTACGCTTCAACGCAGCGCAAGCAAAACGGCGTGAGTCCGCGTCGCTTTGCAGCCGACTGCGTTTTCTTTTCTCTCTCTACAGACGGCTGAGTTGCATTGTTGTCATTTTCTTGATAAAAAATGGCGAATCAGTAACTAACCTTCATGGCACCGTGATTTTTGAGAAAAAAGATGATTTTATACTTTTGCGACTGAAAAGTGTTGCCGTGGCATTTGTTATTTGATCTTGGAACTATTTGTGTTCTTTATAAAAGTATCGAAAGCATTGTTTTATCTTTATAACACAGAATATACGCAATATTGTTATATTGAGTGCACATGCATCGTGTTTGGATGTCCAATTATGACTAAAGCAAATTGTGGTCATGCAACACAATTTAAACGGATCACTTTTGAGCCACGAGTGCTGCGTCTTGCCTTTTTGTTTTAATCTAAGGTATAGTACGATAAAAATACTTACAAGGATAAACAACTGAGGCCCGAGCACGAAACTTTGACATATCCATAATTGTATCATCATTGTTGAATTTTGTATGGAAGGAGCCAGTTTGTTTTTACGTCCGGTAGGGGGGTGCTGCTAAGTTTTCATAGAAACTTTGACAATGCGATACGATGACGGAATTGTCAATGTTCGTGCTTGTGCCTCCGTGCCCAAGAGATGTCAATATTTTTTTTAATTTTATTTATGGTTTATGGTTTAAGACATTTATTTCTCAAAACAGAACACAAAATTCACTTACATGAGAAAACAAAGAATAATTAATCCATTACATGTGTTACACGAGACGTACAAAATAAACAAACAATTTAGTTGGACATACAAACACTGATATATATCACAAATCACTATTGAATTTTACATTTTTGTTTACTAAAACTGTTGATAATTTACAAATTGAAGACTTGGTTTAAACAATACAATAAAAATATTTGTTACGCAAACATCTGTATAATGTGGGTAGTCCGTATTTAGAGTTGAGCATTACGCAAATTAGACTGAAACAGTACGTAGTGTGCATTCTAAGTGACATCGCAACAAGACCGCGAAATCCGCCGCGCACCAAATAAATGCTCAACACGTTTATAGTAACACGGAGCATAGGAAAGAACTATATTTTTCCTATGCTCCGGAATCCGCATACACGATGCTCTGGCAGTCAGGACCTAGACTTCTTCGCTGAGGGATCTGCTTATAGTAATTCCAACCTAATTACAGATTATATCAGAGAGAAAGGAGTTTGATGAAAGTTGATGTTGTATATTTAATTGCCATTTCTATGTGAAGCAATGACAAGCAAGCAAGTCTTACTTATACTCCACTAGCGACTTCATCCGCGTTGATTTTTAGTTTTTGAAGAATCCCAAAGGAACCTGACATTTCTCAATCCAGGTCATAAACTATAAACTAAACCATATGCCATCCAAAGGACATTGTTCAGCGTCCATACATAGTTAGCCTAAGAACCAACAATCATGAAATATTATTTTCTAGATTCAAAATCGTAAGTAAATGACTGTAAAAACAAAGAATATTGACGGACACTTCTGAGAACTTTAATTATTAGGAAAACTAAAACTTTTTTGAGGTTATGTTTAATATTCAATGAAACATAGGTCAACCTATGAATTTAGAATGAACTCAGTATGAAGTGAATTAATATTACAACTAATTCATTTTATTCGGTGCGATTTTAAAGAATAACTATTAGGAAAAACTTGGTAAGGTAGGAATATGAATAAAATAAAAACTGTGGTTTTGCTTCTTATTTATTGACTATTTTTCACATACTCGTAATTGTATCATATTGTTTATTGTATTTATTTGTATATCACATGTTTATTGTGTAAATATGCGGCGTGAATGTGTATCAGGTGTTCTTGAATAATTTGGCAGTATGATCCTCTCTGGATGTTGTGGCACAGGTTCACTAGCACTTGGTAATTAGGGCTCTGCTCTTTGGTAACATTGATGGCATATTAGATAGCCGAAATAGTTAAATTAAAGGAAAAACAATCGCAAATAAACACACACAACAGGTAAAAAACAATCGCAAATAAACACACACAACAGGTAATCCGAAACGAGAATGCACTTTCCGGTATATTATACTACTCTTTGGAATGCACGAATGCCACAGATTACTACGAATGCAAACTGCATGCACCACAACCACAGAGTATCGAGTTTTATGCCGGCCCTTCACTTGACAACAATTTGTCCTTGTCATGCTTAATAAGGAATGAAAAGGACAGACTGATGTCATGTTTTAAAATAGCAAATACGAATAGCCAAGTGAAGTGCCGGCATTAGGAAGAAAGAGTGTTTTGTTTGCAGCGCTGCCATAGATTATACACATAAAATGGTATTTATTGTCTCAGATTATTTTTTAACTTTTTAAATTAGCTTACTTATCTGGAAGTGTCCGTCACAATCTAAATACTGATAATTATCGCAAAAAATATACTAAGAATTATCATAAATGCCAAATTGGTGTTGGTTCTTAGGCCAATTTTAACATTGTCCTTTCATCCAAATCTGTTCAGTATGTACATAAACTTTCACATTTATAATTTTAGTAGGACAAAAAAGCGTAAAATAAACTTAATTGGTCGCACAAACAAAATAAATATTTCTCAATTTTTTCAACTGGCTGTTCGTAAAGTAAATGGAAAAGTTAATTGGTTGAGACTATGCTACTTTATAACATGTAGAACAGACAGACCTGCGGTTTCCGCTTTTTCTTGGCGTTGGGTCGGCGCGTGTGTACGGGCGTTGATTGAGACTCGTCTGACGTCACGGCTCGAGCGACCACCGGCATCTGACACGACCAGCATTTATATAGATAGGTACAATATTTTTGATGTGTAACATCTTTCCTCTAGCTTTCGTGCAATTTGTGGGAGAGATCAAATGTTACTCAATTTTGAAGTCAAGTGTTACTGAAAATACGTACACAAATCACCCCCGCGTGGTTCCAAGGGCAGGTTATTGTTTGTTCGGGTCCGTTCGCCAACAATCATTCAGCTACGATTCCGTCGTCAGCCCTTACGGAGCGCTAAGACCACACCCGAACTCTTAGCATGCATTCTGGGCAACTTGTTCATAAGAGTTCGTTTCGATTCACCGATGCAGGAGTATTGTCTGTGATTTTAATGGGTACTGTACCCTTAGCACGAACCAAATCGAATTGGAATACTTTACGAATGCGAAATGTCATTGTCAAATTTTGCATGGAAACTTGAACAGCAGCACCACAACGGACGTAACGAGAACTAAAAATCATTACATATTTGACGTATAAAATAGATCGACTATATTCCAATATTAAATCTCGAATCTTCGAATATTGTAACTATTCGAATTCGATAATAGTTTGTGCTAGGGGTACTGGTCTGCCTATTTCATCGATCCCGGAGCTGGACGAAATGAGTGAGGAGGAATCCTTGTTTTTCGCATATCTTTGTTGCAGCTCTCGGTGGCGAAAAGGCGTCACGTCCTTACCAGACATTAAAAATATACAACGTGTCTTAGAAATAACGCACACCCTGAATGTTGTTTGGTTGGAATTGGCTTCTGAATCGATTTCAATAAAAAAAGTACTAATCCAAAAAAATAAAATATATACTTTCATTTAATAATTCTCGACAAAGGAATAAGAGCTTTTTTAAATTCAACCGACCATTAAATAATTTTACAAACATTGAGATATCAGATGAGTTACACTGATTAAATAAAAATAAATATTACTGAAATTGACTCATTTGCATGTAACTAAAATATGTAACGAAACACTATAAGGGTGTGCGTTATTTCAGATACACGTTGTATAGGTACTGACCTCGAGGCGGGCCTCTATCTTAATATTGTCGTCGTCCATGTCGAGGATGGCGAGGTTGTTGTTGAGCGAGTTGTAGTCGGGGTAGGGACCGCTGACCGACGCCGCCGATACCACCGAACCCACCGATCCCGCCTCCGAACCCGCCCTACGATAATATAGTCTCTGATTCTGACATCAGACCAGCAAAGGACATTGTTCTGCGTCCATACATTGTTAGCCTAAGAACCAACAATCATGAAATATTATTTTCTAGGTTCAAAATTGCAAGTAAATGACTGTAAAAACACAGGTTATTGACGGACACTTCTGAGAACTTAAATTATCAGGAAAACTAAATATATTTGAGGTTATGTTTAATCATAAATGAAACATAGGTCAACCTATAAACTTAGTATGAATTCAGTATGATTTGAATTAATATTACAACTAATTCATTTTTATTCGGTGCGATTTTAAAGAATTACTATTAGGAAAAACTTGGTTAGGTAGGAAGCATGAATAAAATAAAAACTGTAGTTTTGCTTCTTATTTTTTGAGTATTTTTCACATAATTGTATCATTATGTATATTGTATTTAATTGTATTTTGTGTAAATATGCAGCGTGAATGTGTATCTGGTGCTCTTGAATAATTTGACAGTATGATCCTCTCAATATGTTGTGGCACAGGTTCTCTAGCACTTGGTAATAAGGTCTCTGCTATTTGGTAACATCAATGGCATATTAGATAGCCGAAATAGTTAAATTAAAGGAAAAATCATCGCAAATAAACACACACAACATGTAATCCGAAACGAGAATACACGAATGCCACAGATTACTACGAATGCAAACTGCCTGCACCACAACCACAGAGTATCGAGTTTTATGCCGACCCTTCACTTGACAACAGTCTTATGCTTAATAAGGTATAAAAAGGACAGACTGATGTCAAATTTTCAAAAAGCAAACACGAATAGCCAAGTGAAGTGCCGGCATTAGGAAGATAGTCTTTTGTTTGCAGCGCTGTCATAGATTAATGGTAGTCTCAGATTATTTTTTAACTTTTTAATATAGCTTACTTAACTGGAAGTGTCCGTCACAATCTAAATACTGATAATTTTTGCAAAAAATATACTAAGAATTATCATAAATGCCAAATTGGTGTTGGTTCTTAGGTCAAATTTAACATGGTCCTTTGGAAATAACATGAACTGCGCTTAAAAGTGGTTCCACGCAAATAAGATTAAGTGGGCGGGGCGAAAAAACTGCGATCAACTCGCCGATCATGGGATTGGTTGGTTTAACGTTTTCTTACCCAATGAATGGATAGCCGAAATCATTTGTAGATATTTGATTTGTCAAAGTATTTTGTTCTGTGTGCGTATCGCATTAGTATTGAAGTTTAGTTGCATGAATTTAGAACACTGTTTTAGTGGCCTTTTTTAAAGATTAATGCTTCCATATAATTTCAACCCATTCGATAACCGGCCGTTGCATAAGTTGCTTAACTTACACGATCGCAGACAGAAATGATATTTAAAAATTTCAAGGATCTTTTACAGGCTTTGTAGTACCAAAACCCATACTATTAAAATGATTGATGTGCGTAAAAACATAAGAAATAAATCAATTATGTGCTAGTAACCCCCCAGGATTTCATCCGCGTTAAGTTTAGTTTTTTCAATCCCAAAAGAATCTAACATTCTTCCGGAGTAAAAAGTATCCTGTCTCAATCCAGGTCATAAACTATATGCGTATCGAATCAAATCCGTTCAGTGATTTAGGCATAAAAGCGTAACAAACCAGCGAACTCACTTTCGCATCTATAATAAAATTAGTTAGGATAGGATAGAAGGATGCGCAAAAGTTTACTAATGGACGGGGTGGTTACACCGTATTTTGGCTAAAGCTAAAAATGTTTGTTTGTAATTTTTAAGCAATTAACTGCTAGATGTTGAAATCTAAAGAAAAGTAAATAGAAAAAAATCCACGCGGACCAGGCAGCGAATAGTGCGGGTTCGAGTCCCCGTCTGCGGCCTGGTCCGCGTGGATTTTTTTCGAGTAACTTTTCTTTAGATTTCAGCTAATAACCTATATGTTACCTATTATATTCAGGAGTTCTCGGCGCCGTCGGCGTAGCTCCGGACCCATCCGGCTCTACACCGAACACTTCGTCATCTTCAGGGTACAAAGGAAACCTGACATCCAACAATACAAAGATATAGGGCAATTCAAACTTTACGGCGGTTGTGAGGTAAGCAGAGGGGACGACTATGCGCAGGTTTCAGTTCAGTAGCCTAAGCACGAACCAATAAGAAAATCGAGTGGTATTCCATTTCGATGCTCGTCATTATAGAGTCGAGAAGTTTAGTATGGAAATTGGAACAAGCACCACAACAGACGCAACTAAAGTTAAAATCTTCCATACAGTACCCCTAGCACGAACCAATATCGAATTCGTATCGTTTACGAGTCCGAAATGTCATTGTAAAATGTGTACTGATTTTTAGTTCTCGTTACGTACTCTGTGCCGCTGCTGTTCAAGTTTTACAAAATTTGACATTGACATTTCGGTTTGCAAACTTTTCGAATTCGATAATGGTTCGTGCTAGGGGCAGTACTTATTGACATTTGACGCATATCGAGATCGAATCCAACTACATATTCGAATTCGATATTGGTTTGTGCTGTTCAGTGGAACCATAGACTCAGAGAACGGACTGCGTGTTCTATGACGAATTGTCAAATAAAACTGAACAGATATGTGTGAGAGTGATAAAGCGATAGGCCCACAGTTCGCCTACGTATTGGTTGTTTTTTATTCTAGAAAGTAATCATTTTCACCTATTTTTCGTTTCGTTTCCTATTAACTTGGTGATACATGGTGAGGTTTAAGACTAATCCCTCCCCCCGGCCCCTATATCACGTGTATTTTTAGTCTTATAAAGAATTTTATTTTTTTGCAAATATTTACAAATACAGGTTTAAGTATCATATAATTTTTATAGAAAATTAAATTAATTATAATTAAAGACTACAGTAATAACGCTTAGAGGTAGACAGAAAAGTTGCAGGTTGTTTTTGACTAACATAAAAATAATGAATGAAACGCGAAAAACTTTTTTGTACTGATACATGAACATTATTTAATGTACAGTATCCTCGGACCACAAAAATACACGTGATATTTTAAGACACCCCTCATGTGATATTTCGTGGTTTTTACACCTATAATATACCTGTAATTATCTTCAGAAAGGCGGTCATCGTCGTCGTCTGTCGCTATAAACTGTACGCAGAGAGCACAGTCACCCTTCACGCTCTGGAGCGCTTGAACAGCTTCCTTATGGCATGCCTGATAAAATTATTTAGTTAGATAGAATAATAAAAAAATTAAAGATACACACGCCTCAAGATGACTAATAACATAAAAATATTTCCCATCCGGCTCGAAGGACCACAAACTGAAAACGCAAATCTTACTTAAATGTTAAGCTCGGGCAATTTGTTCTGTGACGAAGTCATACGATGCGGAGATAAAAACAAATATGACTGGTTTGATTGACAGTTAATTGAACTTTGTTTTTCTTTTTCGATATTAACAACCTGAACTCCTTTATATGTTATATATTATAGTGGAAACTTTACTGATGTATGTTTTGTTAATTAGATCTAGGTATAAGTGTTATTTCATTTTTGTTTCCCAAATAAAGATAGAATAAATTAAAAGAAAATCAAATAGTGCACGCTTTCACCACTTCCTGTTACACATTTCCGTCCCATTTCACGAAATCACTCCCAAAAATTGCAGGAAAGCGAGAGGAAAGATGTTACACATCAAAAATAAAGTTGATCTTCCTATACATGTAAACGTTACCTGTGTGAGATCTACATCATTAATAGCTAGTATGGCGTCTCCGACGTAAAGCTCTCCAGTTAACGCAGCCGGCCCTCCCGCCTCCAGTTCAGAGATAAGTATTGGTACACCATGCTCTCGACCACCCTGGTGAAATAATACGATACTAATGTTACAAATGACAAAGTCAAGGATGACTCATGCTAGACCATGTAGATATTGAGGCAGTACGAAGTCTGCCGGGTCATCTAGTATGTAATAAAAGAAGCTATCGAAAGTCGTGACCTTCACTATCCCGAGCCTTTTCCACGCGCTTTATAATCACGACGTTAACACCTTTAGAACATTCTAAGCTTGTGAACAGTAACTTACGTGCAACAAGATTAAAATACAACGCTGCCCAGTAAAAATCACCACGTTAAAAAAGGGTTCGCGCTTACAAATAATACTCATCATTACAGATCTTTTCATCACCAACTCGCGTAAAATTAAGAGGCTATAAGAAAGCCTCAATAAAGAGCATGCAAGGGGGGCGGGGCGGTCCCACTGGCCGCAGTAGTAGTAGTAATAGTGCGGCAGGCGGTTTACCGCAATTCGACAACACCATGTACCTATTTTGCGTGAGGAATGGCATCAGTCCAGCGATCCCTCCAGAAAGCCCAGGCTGCAGGCTTTCACTAGTATCCGTGGCAACTAATTAGAAGCGATATGGAAGCATTACTCTTTATCAAAGGCCGCTCAAAGATGATTACAACTCAAAAACCTAAACTTCAATACTTACGCGATACGCACACAGTCAAAAGTAATACTTCAACAAATCACATTTTTCGCCCCGCCCACTTGATCGTAGTTTGTGTGCAACCACTTTTTAGCGCAGTTCGTATTCCATATTATACATATCTCATTCGTTGGTCCGTGGATTTCCCAGTAGAGAAGTCCTTTGACTAAACACTGACTGTGACGGAGATGCCGAGGGGGCGGGCGCGGTGAGGGGCGCGGGGCGTGGGCGAGGAGGCCACACTCACCGTGACGGAGGTGCCGGGCGCCAAGTGCGGGGGCGGGCGCGGTGAGGGGCGTGATGCACGTGCGGGGCGGCCACACTCACCGTGACGGAGATGCCGGGCGCAAAGTGCGGTGGCGGGCGCAGTGAGGGGCGCGGTGCGTGGAGGCAACACTCACCGTGACGGAGATACCGGGCGCCAAGTGCGGGGGCGGGCGCGGTGAGGGGCGCGGGGCGTGGGCGGGGAGGCCACACTCACCGTGACGGAGGTGCCGGGCGCCAAGTGCGGGGGCGGGCGTGATGCACGAGCGGGGCGGCCACACTCACCGTAACGGAGGTGCCGGGCGCCAAGTGCGAGCGAGTTCACGGGCGGGGTGGCCACACTCACCGTGACAGAGATGCCGAGCCCCAGGTGCGGGGAGCGGCGCACGCGCACGGTGCGGGGGCGTGCGCGGCGCGGGGCTCGGGGCGCGGGCGGGGCGGGCGGCGCCGCAGGCCGGGGGGAGGTGCCACGACACACTCGCACTAAGGTCTTGTGCCGCTGCAGCAGAATCTCCGCCTCTACCTAACAGAATTACTGTCTGCTTGATTATCGTGTCGTGTAGTTCAGAGGCCCAAGCACGAATTTTGACAGCTCTGTAATCGTCTCATCATCACAGCGTATTAGTCTCTACTGCTGGGGCACAGGCTTTCCCTATGGATGGAATAAGGAGATTAAACCAAGACCCACCACCCGAGCCCAGAGTGCGAATTGGTGGGTAACGGGCCTTCCGGCTTAATGTGCCTTCCGAAGCACGAAGGAGCTAGGGATAGTAAATTTTTGGTCACCTATCCAATGACCGACCACTGCGAAAGTTGCGAAAGTACAACGATCGCAGCCGAAAGCGCTAACCACTTGCGTCATCGAGCTTCTTTACTCATTTCGTCATTATAAAATTTTGTATGTAAGGAGCCAGTTTGTTATTAGGTCCGGTAAAGGCGCTGCTTAGTTTTAATAAAAAAAAATTATGATGCTATAAGATTACGGAGGTGTCAAAACTCGACCCACAAAGGCCCAAACTCTGTGGGTCGAATCGGTTGAAAGACTAAAAATGCTATTGATCACTTATTGGCCGAAATTGGAGTCCATTTAGTTCTTTTGTCAAAAAGCTGGTCCGCGTGGATTTTTTTCTAATAAAATTTTCTTTACATTTAGTCATTGTATGTTTGTTAAACGCATAATAGTATAGATTCAAATGAAGCTGTGAATAACTTCGAAGGAACTCTTGTTCAAAATAATGATATTCGCCACATGTAAAAACTGTTGTTTTCGGATTTACAATGGAGTTCATAAAAGAACAGATTTCTCACCTGAGCCCATAACGAGTCTCTGACTTCTGCCCGCATGTCTCGCCCTAACAGCTGCAACTGCTGTATTCTGCCTGCCAACTCCTTATCTAAGTATTTAGTAGCTAACCTGAAAAAATAATATTTATTAGTAAAATTACTATAGCCCTTCATGTTTAATCTCTCAACCTTTTTACTACACCTTGCTTTAAAACCTCTATAGAAGATTCTAAACCAGCTTATTGCCAACATTACAACATTCCATGTTCTAATAATCATTATATCGTACAAACATATGGCATAATGTTGTATTGAATTTTATATAACACTCCTTACTTTTTCGATCCCTTCCACGCAAAGGGTATAAACGCGTGCTACATGGTGGTAAACCCCGTTGTAAACAGAGGTGACTTACATAGTTTATAACAATGTTGACGGTTGTCGTACACCAAATTTCGTTTGAACTTGCAACGTCCTCTGTTTACGCGTAGACCTTGCAAACCGCGGTGTTGTACACGCCGTTCACAACCGCTGTAAGCCGTGCAGCCGCCTGTTGCCAACCACTTAAATGCAATCGCATCGCTGCTGGCGGCGAGTGCGCAGAGAAGAGACAGAAGAAACGCCACACCATGTCATCATGGAATGCAGAAGTGTGGCTGACCAACTAAGTGCGGAAACCGCCCTGAAAAACTAATTAACTAGGATGTCAGTCCCATAGTGTCGTCAAGATAAATAAACTTTTGTATCGCTTCTGTTGGCCGTACTTTAGAATAGTCTCCCGAAACGCCACATTCTCCCTAGCACAGCTGCGCCTACGAGTAATTCAAATAGAATAGAGTATATTTATTTACCGTGCTCCGAAAAGTTCCGAGTGTTAAGCTACGACAGTCTCCTGTAACGCCGCGTTCTCCCTGACCAGCTGCGCGCAAGAGTACTTAATTCAAGTTTTTTTTTTACCATGCACTTAAAGTTCCGAGTGTAACACTAGGAGAGTCTCCTGTAGCGCCGATTACTCCCTAGCCTGCTGCGCCTAAGAATAATTCAAGAAGAGTTACAGTGTATTTACCGTGCTCCGAAAAGTTCTGAGTGTAAAGCTAGGACAGTCTCCCGTAGCGCCGCGTTCTCCCTAGCCAGCTGTGCCGCTTCGGCTCTCGCCCGAGCCGCTTCGGGCACGTTGCCGGCACCGTCGCCGCCATCCTGACACCCGCCTGTGGCCAAGCACCATAATGTTCTTTATGTAGCAGTTGAATTTAGCCAATCAATGTGTTCTTGGGGCTTCAAATTTTGCTGTGGGTGTGAAAAAGCGCTCGTTGCAATAGCCCGACTATAGCGTCGCGGACACTTAACTTTTAACGCTTCGTATTCTTTGACAATTGCGGATAACAGTAAATATTTATCAACAAACCTACTCCAGTTTAAAACCTCACCACATATAAAACATAGTGATAATGGACAACCCCTTACACAAAGCGACTGTTACAGGTTGCTACTCGATGCTAGATGGCGTACAGTACAAATAAATGCGATTCGCCATTTTAAATAAACTTTAGTAATATTGACAATTTGCATGCCGCCTAGGTTATTTACTTTACCAGTTTGTTACGGAAACAACTGTCATGATAATATAGAAAGAAACAGCATAATAGACTTTTTTTAAATTATGACGATTAATGCCCTGAATTTGACAGTTTAATATTATTTATCTTTAAAATTTTACATATAAAACAAAAGTTTAGCGACACAGCAGAGGCATGTTTATGTGAAATATATTTCAACGCAACGCCGACGTAAATTCAACTTTTGTTTTATAATCTTGTAAACTTTATAACTTTAAAATATAATTTTAATGGTGTAATTCTTCGTACTCTTAACTATTAAATAAAAGCGAGTCATTTGGTCAAAATTACTATACTGTTTTTAAAATATTTATGGGCAAGTAAATAACTATTTACTATAGCTTAAAGTAAATAGAAACAAACCGTAAACTAATTTTGACCACGTTATTTTGTATAAACATTTATGCCGTATCTTTGGAACAAACACGATAAAAATACCATTAATATTATTAATATTCTTTCACCCACGTTTTTTATTTTTTACTTGATTTTATTTTTATTGAGCCAACGGCCAGGCCTTCGAGAAGACCATTTTTTGTTGCTTTGACAGGACTGGAGGCATTACGAAAAAGTTCGACTGAATTCGCCGCGCGCTTGCAACTGACTGAATCAGTAACTTAATTAGTCAAGTGTAATCAGAAGCTTCTATTTAGCCTTCTTTTAAGCGCTTTATACAATTTTCAGATCTTTCAAATAACTTATTTATACCTTCGTAAAAAAATGATTTGACAAACTCCTGAATACAGGTACAAATTGCAGACTTCACTTGTTCGTTATCAGTATTTTTTTAATCGAAGCTTTCCTTTCTTAATTTTTGGAACTTCATACTTACTTTTTATTACAGCATACTTACTTTTTTTGAGGAATTTTGTATTAAGACACTGACATCACTTCGAAAATGTCAAGATGAAGTCGTAATCTGTTTTAACTAAAATGATGTTATAGTTTTATTTTTTAAGGTGAATAATGAGTTACTTACTTTATGTGACATAATTGTCTTGAACGTTGTTTTAATAAAAAAATAACTCAACTTCCTGCAATTACTTAAAGTTACTCAAAAAAGCCAGTTTTTAGTAGGATTTACTCAAACATTCAACTTCAATTTAGAAGTACAAAAAAGAGTTTCCAAATCCAGGTGCGAGGAAACTAAAAAAAAAATTATGACGACACTAGTTGGACCACCCTGTATATTAAACTATAGATACAAAATTAGTTAAAAAAATTACGACTCCATCTTGACATTTTCAGAGTGATGTCAGTGTCTCATTACAAAATTCCCCAAAAAAGTACATAATCCACACCAAATATTAAACCGATTATTATTGAAAAAGGTAAATTTTCAGTAACGTAATTTTTAGTAGTCTCGATTTTATTTATATTCTACGACCATGTAAAGTCTCCTTTTTCCAGAATACCTAACGATCCCATAATGAAAAGTCTGTGGGTGGACGTCATAAGAAGTCGTGATAAAATATAGCCTGTCTTAAATAGGAATAATGCAGCATAGTAAGGGTGAAATCGGTACAGTAGTTTTTGAGTTCATCCTCAAAAATATACAAATCTTTCCTCTTTATAATATTAGTACTTATGTACTATCGTCGTGGTTATTCATTCGGCGTTAATTTAAATAATATTACTTAGAACATTGTTCAAAATCATAATAAGTATTCAATTTTGAATTTAATTTCGCTTCCATTCAATAGATGCCACCCAGTATAGTTCAGTTGATCAGAAACATAATATAAAAGTTTTAAATTATTATTTTCCAAAAGTAGGTAGGTAACGTATTTCCATAATATGTGAAAATTATAGGTAAGTAAAAAATTAATCAAATAAGTAAATAAACAGAATACTCGTCAATAATATAATAATCTAAAAATAATTTATTAAAAAAGAATCTCCAAGAGCTTTGTAGTTTCTAAGATCCATTTGACATTGCCGGTCGTTTGTGATCGTTTATGATCATCATTATGATCACCATTCCGTTCCAATATCTATATTACCAGCATTGAGTAAAATCTTTGAAAAAATAATGTTAGAACAATTGTTGACTCATTTTAACATTAATAAACTTTTACACAGAGCGCAGTACGGTTTCACTAAAAACCGTTCCACGACTGATGCTGGGGCCACTATGCTAAAATATATATTTAATGCTTGGGAAAAGTCGCAGAATGCTCTTGGGGTTTTCTGCGATTTATCTAAAGCGTTTGATTGCGTTAATCATCAAACTTTGTTACGGAAATTAAATCATTACGGCATAAAAGATTCCGCACAAAAATTAGTGCAATCATATTTAACAGAAAGGACACAAATAGTTGATATTAACGGTACAAAATCAGCCGGATCTCATGTGAAAATAGGCGTTCCTCAGGGTTCAATTTTAGGTCCATTTCTTTTTTTTAATTTACATTAATGATCTACCTTTCTTTGTAGAAAATTTTTGTGAAATTGTTTTGTTTGCAGATGACACCTCGCTAATTTTTAACGTTGACAGGTGTAAAACAAATTATGACGATGTAAATAAACAATGCACTTTCCAAGGTACTTCACTGGTTCTCTTCTAATAATCTTAAACTGAATGCGAGCAAAACTAAATGTGTGAAATTTACTTTGCCGGATGTAAAGCATGTTGAAATGGGGGATATAATTCTAAATGGTGAAAAACTAATTTTAGTTGATACAACCGTTTTCTTAGGCGTAACACTAGACCACAAACTTCAATGGAACCCTCACATTACAACACTAGCCGGTAAACTAAGTTCTGCTGCTTATGCAATTTATAAAATAAGACGGCTTACAGATGTCGACACTACTAGAATATACTTCAGCTACTTTCACAGCATTATGTCGTATGGCATTCTATTATGGGGCACGGCCGCAGACATTGAAACAGTTTTTATTCTTCAAAAACGAGCTATAAGAGCTATTTACCGCTTGGGATCTCGAACTTCTCTTAGGGATAAATTTAAAGAAATAGGTATAATGACTGTTGCCTCTCAATACATTTACAATTGTATATTGTTTGTGTGTCAGAACATAAATTTATATACGAGGCGCGATGATGTACATAATTTCAATACCAGAAATAAAGATAAACTCAAATTGCCACCATTGAGACTCCAAAAGGTTCTTGGTTCATTTGTGGGTCAAGGTATATGTTACTATAATAAAATACCAAAAGAAATAATTAATTTACCTTTTAATAAGTTTAAAGTGTGTATAAAAACATGTCTCCTTAAGAAAGGTTACTATACTGTAAAAGATTTCATAAATGATAAGTCACCTTGGGCTTAACATAATAGACTGTCGTTTTACTTTGCTAATTTGGTTGAAAATTGTTTAATCGCCACTTCTAAATTTAAAAATAGTACCTAGTTATACTTAACTTTTGTTAATTAATAATATTAATGTGATGGAAGTTGACATCAACACATGTATTCAATTTTTGATGTCATCTTTCAATTGACGACACTGTGTGAAACAAAACAGGGAGAAAAAAATAGCCCTTGCTGAGTTTCTTGCCGGTTCTTCTCAGTACAACGTCTCCCGCCGTAGATTTACGAACCGATGGCGTAGCGTTTGACTTTCACAAGAGCTTGTAACAGCCTAGACTGAATAAATGAGTTTGAATTTGAATTTGAATATACTTTTATAATTTTCTGTCTTTGATAATTACCTATTGATGCTGCTCTGGCTTGTACCAACTCTGCTCGCATGTCTACTAGTTCTGCCTGTAAAGAAAAAAACAGAGATATAACATAAATCTATTTACAAAATACCTTACCTTATTACATACTAGTGAGTGCCCGCAACTTCGTCTATGTGGAAAAAATCGTTTCCCATACGAAGTTCCAGTTCCAGTACAAAGGATGATTTCTGGGAAAAAACTATTCTATGAGCTTTCCCGGGACTCAAAATATCTATAGCAAATTTCATCTTAATGGGTTTAAACGATAATTGGTAACAGACAATGACACTTTCGGATTTATTACTAAGTATGAATTATGACATTGCAGCAGAAACAAAACTTATATTTTAAGTAAACAGTAGGTTTACTCTAGGCGAATTTAGACTTTTTAGATTTTATAAAAAACTATTTCATGATAATATTCATTTAAAAAAAACTAGGTAGATAGAAGTCATTCATATATACATAGTCAATAAAAAAGAACTAATCATATAAATTTAATCCTGTCGACAGATGCTATTTTATTCGCAAACACTGCACTCGGTTGACAAAATAACACGGGCCAAATTTAGATTCTGTAATCAGATAAGAAATGTGTCGCCACTATTGCAAGCAAACAAATGGCGGCGTCATATATCAACAGTAATTGTCGTCAGATTTCAGAAATTCATTGGAACACTGGAGATAATCCGGCCCGGTTGGGGTCAGGGAAGCTAAGGGCGCGTGCCACGCGCACGCTTCGCGTAAATCTGTATCAAAGTAATGGCCAGATGCAGCGGGCATAAATCGTTTGACTCCAACTCCCTGCGCGTCATTCAATTTACCCATATTGGCTGGTTGTTTAAGCAGATCATCAATATTTGTTTTCATTGTCCGTCCTCTTGATCTTGAATTCATAAAAATAAAATAATCCCTTATTTCCCTTGGTAACGTAATATTTTGATTGTTAATTTACCAATATCATTAGTAATATTTACCAATATCATAATAACATTGTGGGTTACGTTAAGGTTACAATGCGAAGAGATGGCGCTGCCTTGCAGCTTAAGGCTAGGTAAATTTCGACGCGACTAATAGGGCCGTGGTAGCATAATAACGGGCATTCGCCCGGATAGCGAAGGATGCGGGTTCGAGTCCCGTCCGCTGCCTGGTCCGCGTGGATTTTTTTCTAGTAAACCTTTCTTTAGATTTAAACAGCTAGCAGTTAAATGCTTAAAAAATAAATAAAATCATAAATATCATTAGTGTTGCCCAAATGCAAGAACAAGACGAGACTTAGCCAGTCTTGGTCTTGGTCTTGCGCCAATACACCTGGTCTTAGTCTTGGTCTTGCGCTCCCAGTCTTGGTCTTGGTCTTGCAGCAAGAGTCTTGCAAGTCTTGCAATTAGTCATAGTCATAGTCATAATATTTATTGCTTCATGTTGGTTACATTTCGTTCTTAAATTTAATAACAGCTCGCAAACATGAGCCCTGCAAGGGCATTGCAAATTATAATAAATGTGTACAAATATTAATTTAAAATTTGATAAAATTACAATAGGATAACAATTCAAGATAGATAGAAAATTTAAATAAGTTAATAAAAAGAATATAATTTTAAAATCAATTCATATTATACTTAAAGCAATTATAAAATACATTTAGGGTTAGGTCAAGAGATGTATGTCAATCAAATCAAAAAATAAATAAACAAGTAACAATAACATTCAAAGTAATAATCCATTCAAAATTCATTCACATAATATTCATTATAATTTAGTTTAATAATTTCGGTTTAGGTCAACAAATTTACGTCATAAAAAAATCTAATCAATTAGTCAAACATCATTAATTATAACGTCATATACAAAATTTATAATGTCATACACACACAAAAAATAATACAGATTATTAGGTATCATTAAAATTTATCATTTAAGAACTCCTTCAAATCATAATAACACTTATCTATAAGAAATTGTTTTAAATTATTATTAAATGTACAATCTTTTTCAATGTTTTTTATATGATTCGGTATTTTATTATATTACCAATTAGACTATTGCTATTTATTAAAGTTTACTTTAGATCTTAGAAAAACGTATTAGAATTGGAACATTGTGAGCTTGAATTAACATAGCCATAGTAAAGACCAATCAGATTAATAAATGTCTGAACATTTGATAAGAAATTCGAAAAATCAACTGCCACATGGTTTTCCATAAGTAGGTAGGTACGCTTTTTATATTATTTTATAAGTTTTGTAGATTTTTTTTACACGTTTCAAGTATATTTAAAAGTGGCTACAATATTTGCTATTTTTTCTTGTGAAAACTTAAGAAATTCAAGAAATATTTTGACTAAATGTACAATAATAGTACGTAAGTAATTAGTTTAAACCCATATAAACAATATTATAATATATACTTACTAGAATTTATTATGACATCTACTACCTATCCTTACCATTATCTAATCATAATACTACTTGCGTGATCAGTATAATGTATTCGTTTCCATTCTAAGCACTCTGAAACTTATTTATTCTTTGGAACACCTGTACTCTAAAATTCGATAATCGAAGTTCGTGTCATACTGTCTCGCTCGCTCTTATATTAAAAAGTATTAGCGTGAGTGGGACGGCACGACACGAAATTAGAATTTTGCATGAGTATACCTAGGCCCTGTGACGGCAATCAAATAGTGTTGTGATTTCGGCGCGGCGGCAACGATTGTTGTATGTGATTTCAATAGAAGCTGCCGGCGCGTGTATCATCACCATGTACTTCCGAAAAGCGGCAAATTTCTTTGAGAAGTTAGTACAAAACCTTTGATGCCGCATTATCAAAGTGCCGATGGTTAAAACAAAACTGCATGCACTCTGTTTGATTTTAATGGATTTTTTTTATTCGCTATGTATGTTTATGGTATTGGTCGTAATGTGCATAGGTCCAGTTTTTCATATTCTTTGATACAGTTTTTTGCGTCTTATAGAATTCCTAAGCGTACCTATACACCGAACTGTATACCTAACTACTCCGTGAAATAGCGCTAAGTCCTAGCTGCAAGACGCAAGAGTTTTGCCGGATTAGTGTTGTTCTTGCTCAAGTCTTGCACGGTCAGTCTTGGTCTTGGTCTTGCTAAAAATACGCGGTCTTGTTCTTGGTCTTGCAAAAATGCAAAAACAAGACCAAGACTGAATTTGGGCAACACTAAATATCATCCATCCTTTTTTAGGATTCCGTATCCGAACCCTATTGCTGCCACTTTGTCATCTATACGTACGTATGTCACGAATCTCTAGATCGTAAGCGGAATGAGTTACAATTACATACATACAAACAAAGAAACAAATAACGAAGAAATGGGGGGTCGAAGTAGTCATTTTTGTTAAGGGTATTTATTAATATTCGCAACTAGTTAAGAATGTGAAATTTTGGTATGTGATATGATGTCCCACATGTGCATGTATACAGCACTGTATTTAAACAACAAATACTGAAACCGCCGATTCATAATGTACTTAGTATGTTGTAATGAATACAAACAAATGATTTTCCCTTTCGCGGTTTGTTGCGATGTCTAGCTCGGAAACAGCAGGTTTTTGCGGAGAAAAATTTTGTAAGTTGCGCGGGCTAAACTTAGCAGAAACAAACTTTGGAGTGGAAGCCATAATATTTTTAGAAGTACCGTGAACCCGTTTATAAGATGCAATTCAAATTTCATAAGATAGTTTTAGTATGAAGGTAAGCATGAAGCATTGTCAAAGTTAAACGATGTGAGGCTTGAGAAGCTTGTGCTGTGCAAGTAGATGGAGTTTGATTGGATTCTCAACCAAATAGATTATCTCTAGTGCAAAATCAAAAGGTATTATTTTGTGTTAATTATGGTAGCGTCAAATAGGACGAACTCTAGCATAAGCTTAGAGTTACAAACAAATATAAATAAGAGGACGTGGCACACACCACGGTGTTGAATTCGATCAACAATCGAACTTCAAAGTCACGTAACCGAATTCGTTGACTCATCATATTTATTTCACCACTATACCATTTATTATTTTAATAGTGATAGGGGAAGGGCCACATTTTCAATCAATCAAAATATTTCACTTGAACTTACAATATCATATTTAACTGTTATTTACCATCAATAAATCAGCAAGTCAAGAGTGGTTGGATAAGAAACGTCAAGTAAAATTCTAATGTTTACTTAAGTGAGACAAATTTTCTACTCGGTTGGTAGTTAGTACACACATATATATACGAGCTTTTGTTTGAATCGACCAAGCGTGAGAGTGCGAATGCCGTCATTCTATTACGAAGAAAGGTATTCATTGACATTCTGTGTGGTCGTCTGGCGCGGTCCGTCGACGGTGTACCCCGTTGTTTGTGTTGTGTAGCTAGTAAGCAAGCATCAGTGGCTGCAATACGGAAGCGTAATGATATCGTGCACGGCTCGGGAGGCCAGGCGAGCGCGCACTCGGCTCAAGTGGCTACTGCAAATAGAGCTAGCTTTTCCAATAAATTTTAAAGAGCAGCTGATAAGCTTATGGAGAAAATAGAAAAAAAAACAATGAATTCAATGAAATGTACAACAACTACTCGAGTAGTTCTCTTAAGGCAACTTCCTTCACAGTATCAACATCGTGAATCGTCGTTTACACGCTAGTTGCCTAGTTAAGATTTTACTTTCAGCACCACACCTTTTGCCATTATCCTTGGCGCGCGCGTGATTACGCACTAGGTATATTGCGGCGCATGCAGCACACTGCATCTACAACCGTTTACAAAGTTGACGGATTACCAAGGCCACAAACAATATGGTACAACGGTTTGTTCATAACATTGTCTAGGGCGAAGTAAACATCGATAACCAATAAACACAACCTACGCACATCTCATCCGAGATCATTATCGCCTGAATGATGAGTGGGAGTCGCTTTTAACGAGCGATTGTGAATATTATAACAAATGTAAAGAAAGCGAATCCGATTTCAATAATATGCAATATAAAACATCATAATAACGAACAGTTATGTACGAGACAATAAATGCGGTTCATTAGGG